CCTTATCTTACGGCCATTGAGTCGGCATTTTTTTTGTAGGCTTAAAGCTGACTTCAAATACATGTTATCTAAGTCTACTTTGATGCAGTTCAGCAGTTCATAGACGTCTTCAATTCTTTCTTCCACATTGTGTGCAACCCAGTTAACGACAGCTTCAATGGCTGCCTCTTCTTTCCGAACATTGAGATTCTCTCTCGAAAGAATATAAGAGAGCTTCTCCTTGCCAATGTCCAGAAACTCTTCCTGCTTCCACACTTCTTCAAACTGCCATAACAATATCCTCCTGGACTCCTTCTCTAGTTCCGAGCAATCATGATATTCGGCAAAGGAGTGCATCCCTATGCAGTTGTCAGTGTCTAAATGCCTCACCAGAAACTGCTCACAGGCTTTCTTTACTGACACGAACTGGAGCAGGTCTGCAGCCTGGAGTAGGCTTTGGACATTTCTCTTTGTTATCTGGATCTGTGATGTGTATGCATAATTCACGAGGGCTTCCAGTACCGCATGGCTGAGCCCGGGAAGACTGATCTGGTTTTTGGATTTCTCTTTCATATCGGCTGTGAACATGGCTTTGAAATAACTGCTGCAGGCGGCCAGGGCGGCTCTGTGGCAGTGGAAGATGACCCCCGAAGCGCACTGCAGGGTGATGTCGGTGAACAGCCCGTCCAGGTAGAACGCCCGGAACGCCTCCAGGAAGCCGGCGGGATGCCCGGAGTCCTTGTATAGGTACGCGTACTCCTCCTGCGCGACCGCGGCCATCGCCGCGCCCCGCAGCTCCCGCCGCTTTGTCCGCGGTGCTCAGCGCAGCCCGGCCCGCCCGACCCGCCCGGCGCGGCGCTTACGCCCGTGCGGAGCGCGGCCGCGGCCAGGGGCGCTCCCAGCCCGCGGCGGCCCCGGGATGGCCTTTGGAATAGCAGCTGCCGGCGAGAGCGGCGGGGCCGCAGCAGCAGCAGCAGCTCCTATTTTGGTGTCCCGGCCGCCCCCACCCACCCTCCGCACCCCTCCGCACCCCTCCGCGAGGTCGCGGCCCCGGCGCCCCGCCCGGCCCCCTCCCGCCCGCTCGCCTCGGGAAGGTCCGGCCCGAACCGCTGCCGCCGCCGCCCGAGCGCTCCCAGCCCGGAGCAGGGGTTAAAGGCTGTCCGCGCTGGTGACAGACGGCCCGGCCGTATTAGGGACAGGAGCAGATGCCTGGGGAGCGTCACCAGCTCGGTGTCACTCAGCCACACAACAAAGCGAGGGGCCTCGGCTGCCGCTGACAGCGACCTGAAGCCGCCTCTGGTGGAGGCGCCCCTCGCTCCCAGGAGCGACACTGGGAAGGGCAGCAAGAACCAGGGGCTCTCCCATTGACTGAGAGCAGGAGTCGAAAGGAGGTGGCCAGAGCTCTCCCCATACACCCGAGCCTGGCAGGGTGCAAAGGATAGTCACAATTTTTACCGACAGACTCCAGCTAGAAGTAAATCATTCAGGAAGAAGGCTATATTGGCTTTTACAACTTCTAAAAATGTGGTTCACAATTTAAGAAGTCTTTCTCTTCTCCGCTAGCAAAAGGTTTTCTGCAATGGACACCTTTATTTGAAACACAGCATCCTCTGGGTTCAAGCAGCTGTGGTCCTCCCTCATCTGCAGAAGAGTTTGGATCCAGCCAGGCTCTGCTGGGTTGAAGGGACTGGCAATGGTTTCTCCTACCAAAAGGAGGTGGGTATTTGTTATTGTGCCAGCAATACTCAAAAGGAGAAATTAGGAGAGCTCCTGCTCTACACAGATTAAAAAGCATCATATTTTTCTTTCAATTACTAGTGGTTCTTCCTCCACAATGCCCACCAGAAGCACGAACTAAAGAAATCCAAAAAGGAACATGTATGTGGACATACCTCTCTGCCATCCTTCTTCCTGTACTAACTATTCAACAGGACTCAAACTTGCTCCTGGCCTTTATACAGTAACATGAGACAAAAATAAACTCATCCAAACAAACAAAAAACCCCCACAAAAACAAAAAGTACACCTTCACACTTCTTTACCTTCTGTTTCTTCAACCCCTCTTGATGCATCGCTAGCCCAGAGAATTGGAGTTTTGCAGTGTAACCCAGGAATTAGCAACAGCCCTGCTGTCTCTGCCATGAGACTGTTCCTCAGCTACATTACCCCATTTTTTTCTCTGGAGCATTCCCTTGTACAGCCCTAAGTCTGTTTATACATCCCCACATCAAGAGATTTGTTTTGCTGTGGTTTTGCATTTTCCATTTCATCAGCTTCCTATGGACAAGCAGGAACTTCTTCCAAGTCTTGGCCATCCTACTAGCACACAATACTAAGTACTCTCCATAGTAGCTGGTGTATGGTGGCAGACCTGTCACCATACAGAGTTTCCCATACACAGATGCCTTCCATTATGCATTTCTTTACATAACATTTTACCCAAGCCATCTCCCTCCCAGACAGCGTGTAGATTTAAACTGTCAGCAAGTCTGGAGGTCAGCAACACTTAGTACTGAACATACATCCCCTTCAAGGAGCTTCTCCCTTTCTCTTTTGGCTGGATTACCAGCTCAAACCACCTTCACCTTTTGGAGATACTCATCTCCCCTCCATGATAACCAAATGTGGAAAAATTTGGTAATTGTGATGCTCCAGAAAAGTCCTCTCTTCTCTTTTATTAAGAGGGGGAAGGAAAAACCCAAACGAGACTTGGTTAACAGCTTAATGGTCTGCCTACTGGAATTCAAAAATTTCTTCTGTCTCCAACATGCACTTTGTCTAGCAAATAGCATCAGCTCTACCCTCTACTTGAAGTAATTAGATCATAATTGCTAATATTTCAAGTAGTCTATTTTACTTAATCTGCTCTCAACTCCTGCTTCAGTATTTTCATCAAAACCAGAAAAAGAACCCCTTTTTGAGTGTGAAGATTAATTTCTCACCCAATCTCATTCTCACAGTAAACTATGAGATAGGTTCCTTAAGGCCAAAAGAGCAATAATTAATGTAAGTGGCAAAAAAAAGCTGAGTAATTACTGACATACTACTTTTTTTGGTTTTTTAAGTAAGCAGTATCTGAGATCTGTGGACAAACTGAAAGCAAGCTATACCACAACTAAGTTCTAAAATCACAGAAGAGATCAGCACAGAACATGGAACAGTACATCTAGTATTAAAGACACAACTGTCCTGCTTTCAGCTGGGATAGAGTTAATTTTCTTCTTAGTAGCTGGTTCACTGCTGTGTTTTGGGTTTACTATGGGAATCATGCTGACAACACACTGATGTTTTGGATGTTGCTAAGTGGCGCTTACCCTAAGTCAAGGACTTTTCAGTTTCCCATGCTCTGCCAGTGAGGAGCTGCAGAAGGAACTGCAGGGAACGTGGCCAGGACAGCTGACCCGAAGTGGCCAAAGGGATATTCCATAGCATAGGATGTCACACTCAGTACACAAACTGGGGGGAGTTGGCTGGGAGGGGCCGATCACTGCTTGGGGGTGGGCTGGGCATTGGTCAGCAGGTGGTGAGCAACCGTATTGGGCATCACTTTTTTCTCCTGGACTTCTTTCCTTTCTCTCTGCTTTTCATTACAATTATCATAATAATTTAGTACTATATGTAGCAGAATACTGTATTGTATTTTGTTTCAATTATTAAACTGTTCTTATCAAACCACGAGGTTTAATTTTTTCCCCAGTTCTCCTCCCCCAAGAGGGGGGGATGGAGTGAGCAAGCTGCTGCGCGATAGTTGCCAGCTGGGGTTAAACCACAGCAACAACTTAAAACCCAAAGTAACATACAGAAGTGTCCTATGCAACAGCCATTACTGTCTTTTGTGTGACCTGTAAATCGGACAATTTAAACCTGTCAAAACTTGAGACCTACCAGTTCATCAGATACTCTCTTCATGCCCCTGTGCAAGACAATAGGGCAAGATCCCTAATATGAACATCTCAGATACCTATCAAATATCCATCAATAAAGCAAAGCTCCTGAGAACTCAAGCATATTACTCTGGACATCTTGGACAACAGATTGTTCAAAGCAGCCTTCTACAATTCATTAAAATAGGTGAAGCAAGGAAGGAACTATGCAACAGAAATCTTTATTTATATACACTATCAGCCTGAAAATAGGCAAGACCACTCCTAAAAATCATCAATTAATAAAAAAGAAGGTAGTGACAACATCTAGTGTCTGTAAGAAAATGAGAACAATGCTGCACAGAAAACAAAAGACAAATATGGCAACTTCAGGCTGTTGAGTTACACCTCAGACATCGGCAACTGAGATGCTGTGAAACTGGACTAATTTATCAGCTATTAAAGCACTTAAGCTAAAACTGACTTCAGTTTAATAGCAGATGACATCATCCTTCTGAACCTTTTGTGGGACTACAAGAAGAAAAACATTTGGCATGGAAATACGTTATTTGATTTTAATGAGACTTATTTTTAATATCTTTATAAGCATAGCCAAACTCTTGAGACCCATCACACTGTCAGTGGTGAAGAGACTGAATGTTCACAAATGATTCCTTAAACTATTTAAAGACAGAACAATTCTGTTTAAAAGTTAAAATGGACATAGATGTTCCCTTCCACTCTGTAAGAGAGGACTGTACTACAGATATGGATGAGAGTAAATAAGTAAAATCAGTGTAAACATGTATATATACACACCCTTCTGTGGGCCTGTGCATTGCAGCAGAAACCAGGCAAGGAAAAGGCACCCAGCTGACTCGGAGCTGTCGGCATGGATGGTCAAACCCGTGTTAGCTCTACACAGAGTGGCAGCAGCCACCGTTGGGGCAGTAGCTGGAATGGGAGAGAGACTTTTCTTTAAACAGAACAGCAACATCTTTACTGCCTGCCAGAAGAGAAAGGGCCTGACTGGCAAAATAAATGAAGGTGTTAGCCAAAGGCTGACACCTAACTTGTGCTCGCTCTCTCCAGGCCCTGACAAGAACAGGGGCCTGACGACACACAGACCAACAGAATACATGACATAAACTGCACATGTCAGTGACAGCAACTTTTATTGTCTTTACAATACAAGATAATACAAACTATTAAAAAGTCATTTTGTCTGGTAAAATATTTAGTAGATTGAAAATAGAGATGCTTCTTCAGATGAAACAAGATCACAAGCATACCAAATAATTTACAATCAGATCAAAGAAGTATAAAAGCCAACAGTTCCAGAACCATGCTTCTGTCACCTAATGTTTTTTAACTAAAGAATGTCATTCTTTTTTGCACTAATCCTACTCCTTCCCCCAAGTATGTGGGACAGCAAAGGTCAGTTATATAGTTGGTAAAGGCTTGGTGGGGAGGGAGTAGACTAAGAATAATGACAAGTCCTCTCAAAATCCCCCTCCTCCACTTAGGTTGGAATGTGTACTATGTTAGAAGGCCTTTTTTACTTCACTTTCCTCATATTGCCAAGATTGAACATAAACAGCTTTATACTGTGTTTAGAAAAAGTCAGTTCAGATATTAGCCCAAATTTCCAATTTTATGCTTCTATATACATGCAGTTTTTCTGTCCCAGGAAGTTAATACATCAGTTTACTTTTATCATTTGAATTATTCCTTTATAAGGAGTTTCAGGTAAGACATAATGTCAGTAGCAGATGACCAAACCAGAACAGAACACTGTACAGGACTGAGATCTTGAGCCAGTTGAGAAATCTTTTTCTCCAAGGTATACCCCTGCCTGGGCATAGCAATATCATTCTTCTTCAAAAACATTACTGGACATAAGTCATTCCCACCATCACCAATATACATAATTTGCGTATAACTAACTCCTCGCTCCAACTGTTTATCTAGAAATTCTTTTAAAACTTTCCTTTTGCAAAGGTTTTTTGGGCACTTTGCACAATGGTGAGCATGGAAGTTCTGTACAGTAAGATAGCCAGCACTGCTGAATGCTGCAGGGTTTGTAAACACTTCATCAAAAACCTCATGGAAGTCAGCAGCTTTCAAAATCCAGTCAATAAATACTGTATTAGAATCTGAAACAATAATGCAATCAAACAACTCTTTGTTCTCACCAATAAACCCCAGAAGATCTACCATTCCCGCAGTGAAAGGAATTGTTGTCATAGTTCTTTTCATTTCATCTTCTTTGACACCATTGTCTCCCAAGTAGGCAAAGACTCTGCCCATATATTCTGTCCAGTGTCCTGGTTGGTAGGAGTTTCTTAATCCATTAGGAAGTTTTCTCTCTGGAGCACATTTCACAATCCAGGTATCACTATTTTCATCTATGATTGTATGGTCAAAATCAAAAACCAACAGCAATTTCATAGCTGTGAGAAAACAAGTTTCCAAAACAAACAAAAAAGAAAATTATTTATATAAACACGAGTACTGTATTCCTAACCTGATCTTGTGCTCAGATGAGAAAAATTCTGCAGGAAAATATCTAAACAAAGTAAACTATTTATGGCCACTACAGCTATGGGAAGTTGTGCTGAAGCTAAAAATGCAGTCTGTAAAGGTCAAAGTTCAGCGTCCAACTTCTGTTTAAAATAGCTACTGTGACAGGATCTGAACTGGTGCTACAGTTACTAATACTTGCTAACACAGAGTCAATCTTCCCGTACTCACGCACCACCAGTTCGACCACAGGTTCTAAATTTCTCTATCAGCATTTGCCAACGCAAACAAACCGGGATTCTCCTGACAAAACGCCTCAAGAGGGATTTCAAAAGGAAACGTGTACTCAGCACCTGGAAGGCATCAACGAGGACGCGCCAAATCAAAGCAGCCCACGAAAAGAAACGCAGCCCTTTGTGAAGCTGAATCTGCTGCCCCTCACGGGCAGGTCCCCGGGCCCGCCGCGCAGCCCGTGCCCCGCGCAGGACTCGGGCCGCCCCCTCCCAGCCGCCGCCGAGGGCTAAAGCAGCGCAGCTTCGCCGGCGGGGGCACGGCGGGCGCCCGAAGGGCTGGGCGAGGGGGCAGCCCCGTGCGGAGAAAGGGCAGGGACCCGCGGTGAAGGGGCAGCGCCATGCGGGGAAGGGAGAGGGACCCGCGGGTAAGAGGCAGAGGGGCCGACACCGGGGCCGACACCGCCCGGCCGGCCCCGCCCCACCCGCGCGGCCCCCGCTCCGCCCACGTTTACGTCACCGCGCGCCGCCGGGTCGCCCGGCAACGGCCCCGCGTCCCGGAACATGGCGGCGGGGCCCGGGGCGATGGCGGCGGGACGGCGGCGGCGGCGGCGGCGGCCGAGCGCCCGTGAGTGCGGCTCCCCCGCGGGCACCGGGACCGGCGGGGGGGCAGCGCACGGCCCCGGGAGGCTGTGGGGGTGCCCAGCGTGACTGTCCCCAAAGCTCCCCCAGCTGCAGACAGCAGGACGGGGCAGTTTCGGCCCAAGAACTGCCTGAACCCAGCGCAGGTCCCGTGAACTCCCGTGGCAGCAGTTGGGGAAGAACGAGGTGCCACCTCAGTGCACCTTTACTTTACTTTTGGCAAGGCTGCCTTCACCTGGGACAGGGAGGATCACGCCCTATCATGAGACGAACAGATTAGCAACACGGCATCTGGGAAATAGCCTTTGACATCGGTGTCAGTGTAAGAGAAAGCCTCCTTACACCTCGGACACAGCATGTCAGTCTGCAACAAATCAGACAAACGGAGAATTTCTACAGGACATCACTCCATGCAGTGTGCCATTGCCTCCAAAAATGGTGGTGACACTTGAAAGAGCGTTTCACAAAACCTAGTGATCATCTAGAAAATCTGCCTTTATGTATGCACGTGTATGTGACCCTAATGCAATGAAGAAATGCTAGTCTTGCCAACAAATCAAGAAAATGTTCTATAACTGATCTATTTCAGTAAATACAATGAGTGTGCAGGACAAGGGTAGTAAGGCACAGCCTGTGCTCAAACTGCTGCCTCATCCAGCCAGTGGAATGACATTACCAATATTTTCCTTTTCCTTTTGGGAATGGTCCCTCGTCCCTGCTGTTCTCAGAATCATGCCCAAGTACTGCCTGGAAAATGCGAGTTGCTACAAGCCAAACCTGTACATACACACAGACAGGCAAAGTGACATACAAACAGATCAGTCAGTCAGTGCCACAGTCCAAGTACATGCACTGGCCATAGTTAGACTACAGATACAGGTACCCTGTCTTAGCTTTGGGGTATGGGGATGAAGAGAGTAACTTAGTATTGTTACTATGTGAGAATTCAAATCCTGATACACATTTGAATATTGGATTTTCTGATATCAAGTAACCTCAGTATTTTTTCTTCCCTCTGCACAGCACCACATCATTTGGAAGAAAATAATGTTCCAGATGGGTATTTCCTTCCAAATGAAGCAGATCTTCGTCAGGTAATTGTATTTCCAAAAGCAGAATGGGAAAGGATTCAGAACAGCACTAAAGAAGCAGCACACATCCTCGATGAGAAGAAAGAACAGGAAGAAATTCACTTAGGCTCCAAAGCTGCTGTAAAAGACCCGCCCAATGCCACTGTGGTAAGTACAAGATACATTTGTAAACAAGAGTAGTCATTTTCATATATACCAAAACACTCATAGTAACATTTCTAGCTGTACTCTCTTTGTTTAGCATTTACTTTTGAATATGTATATTAACTAAACTCCATTTAAATATGTTTACTATCTAACATAAACATTTATTTTTTTTAATTAAAGCTAAAATGCAAAATTAAACAAAAAAACCCCCACTACCCAAAATTCAAATGTGATTTCTGATTTTGTCTGCACTACAGAGCCTAGCACAAGAGAAACTTAAAGCCAAAAAATTACGTGAAGAAAGGGAAGAGGAAGAAAGAAAGTTACTTGATTTGGAAGAAGCAAAGTTCCGAGCAGCAAAACGGAAGGAGATTATCGATCATGCAAAAACCTACCTATCCTATCAGAACGACAGAATGAAACAGTTCCACGTTTGTTGACAACTTACGGTTTTTAAATTCAAATTGTACTGAATGTCTTTAAAGACTTCTGAACACACAAATTACTTTAAATGTTCTCTTGCAGAGTGCACTTCTGCTTACTGAGGTCCTAAAAGAAAGAGATGCTCAAGTTGAATTTCAAAAGTTGAAGTCAGTTGTTAACAAAAAGAAGGAACGTGAAGAAGAGGAACGTCAATTCAAAGAATACATTCTCAGAGAGCAAGAAAAGGAACAGCAGCATTATATGAAGGAGCAAGCACTACGCAAATATCAGCTGGAACAGTAAGTAATAATTAAAAGCAACCCTACTTTATTCTTTACTTAAACTTTTATCACAAATTTATTCTACAAGGTTTTTACAGAAACCTACTAATAATTTGATTCACAAATGCCACACTTTAAAAGAAAAATTCAAACTGCCACAGAAGATCTTGCCCAAAACAGAAAAGCTGTAATATACATTTTTAGTTGCCAGCAGTCTGCATGCAAAATCATCTCTGGCAGGCATCAATAGGTTTTAGTCAAATCACTGTTCTAATGCTGTTACTTAAATTTAACTGTGTTTAACTCAGTTTTGGTTCCAGAGAAGGAAAAGGTTAAACCAGAATTTCCATTTGCTCAGAACTAGTTTCCAGACTGCCCATCAAGAGAACGCATTACTGTCACTTCTTATTCTTGCTCTCAGCTCTTCCAGAAATCTTATGGAGGGGTCCCCAGTGGTATTTATACGGCTGACCCTGGTGCTCTGAAAGAAGGAATCAAATTTCCCAAGGCAGGGGAAGGGTTCAAAGTCTGGTCTCACACATTCCAGGCCCAACATATAAATACATAAAACACTACCAGCTTAAGCTGCTGTCTGCATGCCCAGAAGGAGAAGCACAGGTACGGTGGGTCTCACTGGGGAAATCTTGTTCTCTGAGGATGTTGCAGAGCTACGCCATGAATGCAATGGTTTTAATGAGTCATCCAGCTAAAACTTGTTACCATGAGACTGCAAACTGTGAGCATACCATGTAGCTCATTTCTGGCTAGAGGACCGAGGGCTACCATTACAATCATGCTGTTTTTCACCTCTGATATTCTACCTACCTTCAGCTCAAAGTATCACATTCTTCAGTGCAAGGTACCTATGGTTATGCAGAATATATATCTGTTCATTACTTCATGCAGTTTCTAGCCCATTTATTCACCTTTTTCCAATTCAGAATAAAGGAGCACGAGCATCAGGCAGATCTGGCCAAGATAGAAATCAAAAGAGAAGCAGAAGAAATAGAGAGATTGAATCAACTGCACCAACTGGAAATTCAGAGAAGAAAGGAAAAGGAACAGGAGGAAAGAGCTGAACGCCGGAGGCTGTATCATGTAAGTAACAGGAAAGCAGATAGTTCAAAATGCTTGTTTCACCTTGGCTGTAATGGTTGCACTCATCCCACAAATAAATGGGCCCACTGGCAACAGTTTGCCAACAGCTTCAGTAGCACGGGATCAAATGCCTCCCCTGCCAGTTGCAGGCCATGTCTTTACTCTGTGCTTTTGAGAAAAGCCTCTTGGAGGCTTTTCTCTTCTTTGTCTGAAGGGACGTTGGCACCTTGTTGGCACGATGTTTTGACTTGTCTATGATTAAGGATTCGGCTGTAGATATGAAGAAATATTCTTCTTGATTTGAGAACTGGATTTAAGTTTCACATTCCTGCTGTTTTAAGCCCATTTTTCTTTGTTAGAAAGAGGGAATAGCCTGAGACTGAACATATCTTTTTGACTTTCTGCTTATGATTGGAGATGTTTAGAAATTTAGTCAAGACCTGCTGCCTTTTCATTTCATCTTAAACAGCATCTTGCTAAGTACAAACTAGGAAGTGCTTTAGAATGGTTTTGACCAGAATGCAAAAGACAGTTGTTTTTTGACATAAAAGTATAGAAAACTCTTTTTCAGCTATGTTTTGGATTAAGCTCTTAGACTGGGATAGTTTTGGAAGAGATGGGCCAGGAGAAGTATGGTCTGTGTGGCTGTTGGTGGGGGTTGGACAGTCCCATGCCTCCCACTGTCCCATTCTCCCATGTCTGTGAATGGGAGTATGGGATAATGCTCTCTGTATTGCACAGCAATTTGTTTGTGCAATATGCTGGAGAAGCACGTGTTTGATGCTCAGTTCCCCTTCCACTTCCTCACATCTGCTGTCTCCTCTTCATGCATGTTTGAATAGGGAGTAAGTGGAAGTCCTGAAAAGTCTCTCCTCTCTTCTCCCTTGGAAAGAAACATGAGAAGAGAGAACAGGGAGTGATCCTTGTTAAGTTGCTACCCTAGGCCCAGATATTCTAAACTTTATCTGTTACATCAGGGACTGTTTTGACCATACAGGAATACATAGCTGACCAGAAAATAATCAAAGCAATAGAGGAACAAAAACAAATGGAAGAAGATGATCGGATCAAAGCTCATTTTAAAGCAAAGCAAACTATTGCCCGGATGAGAAAAACGAAAGAAGCTGAAATGCGTAGGTGGGTACAAAGCTAGAGGGTAAACTGTAAATAAACTAAAAATTATACTGTAGTCAGAGCTTTCAGACCAATGACGTAACACAATCAACAATTTACTGATAGAGAGAGTATGGAATTCAGGAGAATAAGGAAATTCTTTCACAGGTTCCTTAGTACTAAGTGTGCTAGGGAGCAATCTCTCCACCCTTCAAAGTACAAAGGCTTATGGAAGTACAAAGCTTTACACCAGTGTATTGGGAACAGTGGTTTTCCTGTGTCCTGCCAAGCCTCCAACCTCCTCAACAATTAAAGACAATTAAGATCCTTGATGAAAATATTTTTGAGTATAAGCTAAATTTCTCTGAGTCAGATAAAAAAAAATTATTTGACTTCTTAACTAAGCACATATATTAATCGATTACATTGGGTTCTTATTAAGGGGAGATGGTTTATCAATTTAACATTGAAGGTACAACATGATGATACCACTGAGTCAATCTAAGAGTTTCCTTCTCTTCCTGCTTTTGTCTAATACTCCCAAAATTTCTCTTATGATGGCAAGGTGCTAGGTGGACTCCTCACTGAGCTCATTATTGCAACAGAAAGCCGGTGTTACATGAATACAGGGAACATTTATTTGCTAAACAAGATAATATTTAAAAAAACAAACAGGAGGAACGCGAGGAGATCATTGAGTTGGGTGGGTGGGCCAGCCTCTGTGGCAAGAGAAGAGAAGACTAGAAGCAGGATTGCTGAGTTTGGTAGCTTCAGGTAGACCCAGGTGTGTTACCCTGGTATGTTATAGCAGCTCATGTTCTTCTGCAGAAAAACACAGGAACAACAGGACAGAATCGTTAATCAATTAGCTAAACAATTGGGTGAGGCATTAAAGATGGAAGACGATCGACTTGCTAGAGATGTTGCAAAAATAGAAGCTGCAGAAGAAAATAAACGCAAAGAGAAAGAAGCAAGACAGAAGGCTGCCATTGAATCTATTGCTGAATACAGAGCCACTGTGGTAAGAAACCTGGGCTGATCTTACTGCTGCTTACTCCAGCTGAGGAGCCTGGCCCAGATCACAGCTGGCTCTGGTGCCATGCCTCAGCAGGCTTCATCAAGTCCACTGACATCTTTCCTGGGGTCCCCTCTCCCTTTCCCACTTCCACGTTGGGTGCACATCTGCCAGGGCTGCTGAAAACCCTGGGCTTGGAGACTGGCCAGCCACAATGACAATGCTTCTCGGAGCGTTGATACAGGGCTGCTTCTGCTGAGAGAGATGACTTTCAGCTTAGCAGGACACCTCCTTGGTTAACTTTTTGTGTGTGTTTTGTAAACTACAGATTAAGATGAAAGAGGAAAAGGAGAGACAGGAAAAAGAAGAGGCTGAAAAAGAACGTGATGTGTTAATGGAAAACGCCCGCATCTACCAAGAAATGGAAAAAGCCAAGAAAGAAGGACGACATGGCACAAACAAGGAAGTACAGAAAATTCAGATCCAGCAAATAGTAAGTAGAGAGCTGTACCCTGTCAACCTTTTCAGAAAGAAACACTTATCTAAACCAACAGCACTAGTTCATGCTGAGAGGAAGAAATGAAGCTTGCTGGGTATTTTGGGTTTTTTTGTTCGTTGGGTGTTGTTTTTCTTTAAATCATGTGTGCTCTGCATATGCTGGTGTTGGAGAGCAGCCTCCTCAGAGCATTGGTGCAAGTCAAGGCTGGTTTGCAATGACAGATCACATCCTGTTTTGTGCCATGATGTTCTACTGCTACTCTCCTGTATCTTCCGGGCAGGTCACCAAAGAGCAGTAGCTAATGCTGATGTTCACTCATCCGTTTAATGTTCCCTTCTGGGGGCATATCGCAGGGGAGAGGAGTGGGGAGGGATGACAAGTGCCAAGTATCAATTAACAGTGCCACAGATCTCCTGTAAGCTTTTACCCTCTCTATGCTTTACAAGAGAGTGATGTTGAAAACAAAATACTAAGCTTTGTTATTCCCTTTTCTTCATCAGGCTGAAAAGCAGGCAAAACGACAGCAGGAAAAACAAGCAGACTTGGACTATGAAGCTGAGAAAGAAGCTATTGCACGTGGTAAAGAGCGTGAATTTCAGAGCTATGCAAAGCAAGTAATTGAATCAGAGTCCAAGACTACACATCATCTTTATCCTCTTCTCAAAGCATGCAAAGATGAAAGAGGACTGGGACATGGGCCATTTTTCTGAGAAGAGAAGAAATAAATACTACTTTCCAAGCATATGATGTTGCTGGGACCCTGTTATCTTGTTGTAGCTGTAATATCACTTGAGAAGTTAAAAACATGAAATAACATTTAAACTATCCAGCAAGGAAAGGCAGAAGCCGTTTTCAAGTTAAAAAAATACCTTTTTGTACTGTACAGGCAGAGTTAAACTGTGAATGATTTATATCAAATTCAACTATGAATCTCTAAGTCCATTTGGAAAAAAACCCCAAAACCTGCCATATAACTGGCTATATTCTCAAAAATCCCCAGCTTATATTTCATGAATGTTAGTTTACTAACTTAAGACAAGAATGCATGTTATATAATTAACTGTCATTGTAACACATTCCAGTCAAAAGCTCACTATTACTGCTATATTTTTAATATTAATTATTCTAAAAATTCAGTGTCCCAGGTTTTTCAGGTCTGCGACATGAATTCCTAGTGTAAAAGGTCACATTTTTCTCCAGCCTACTTCCAGTTAAGAATTCCCCATAATAGAAAAGACCAAACCAAAACAACTACAGGGGAAGAAAAAAGAGAACATACGTGAAAGTTAGAATAGCTATGGTATGCAGGTTTTGTAGTATTTTGCAACTACCTCTATAAAACAAATGTCATGCTATAAATTAGTTTTATTTCATGAAAATATTAATGTGATTTGTTCACAGCCCTTAAAAGGTCACCTAGGAGGCAAACAGATCCCAATATACCTGTAGATAGCAACTACAAAAGGAGCATGTAAACAGGAGACAACATAGTTGGGCTAGTCTTTCAAAAAGCCTAACAGTGATTCAATCTACAGTAAATAGATCCGATGTAAATTTGTTTCTCAGATTCCTCAACAGATTTCTCTCTAACACCCAAGCCACTGATACATCCCCCTCCTTAAGCTTAGTTTCTTTGCTGAACTGTTAACATCATTTTCTTGCCTTGGACAATTAGGCTTTCCAGTAATGACTTCCTCCACAAGTACCCTAGGCTTTAAACCCTGTCCTGGTTTCTGCTGGAAACAAAGTCCAAGAAACTTGAAGCTTTACTTGAACCTTGTGTTCCAGCCCTGCAGCTGCGAGTCTCTGTTGACCAGACTAGAAAATTATGCAAATCTTAAAAAAAACCCCTAAGCTTAAATTAGAAGAGTTTTATACAAAGGACGCTCGCCAATATTTTAGTTTGGAAAATAGGTCTTTTGTGTGTCCTCGAATTTCGGAGTCTGGCTTCCTAAAGCAACAGGCCCTGCAGAAAGCAGGACACTCGGGAAAGATGCGGGGCCACCCCGGAGGCGAGGTCCCTCCTGCAAGCTGAGGACCAAGCAGAACTGGTTTTACCTCCCCTATAGTGTAAAAATCCCCGGGTGCAGCAGTCACCTCCTCGAGGAGTCTCTTCCAGGCAGGGCAAGGGAAGAACTTCTGGAAGGAGAGGGAGGGCCGACCTCCTCACCCAGCTCCCAGGGCCACCAAGGGCCCCCAGCCCGAGCTACAGGCAGGCCTGGCGGGGTGAAGGTGGTGCGAGACGCGGCAGCGCCCGGAGCCCGGCCGGGCCCCATCGCCGCAGCCCCGGCGGGGAGCGGGGCCGCCGCGGCCGGAGCACAGGGACAGAGGCGGGGGGGACGTTTCAGCCTCTTACCGAGGGCAAACGAGTAGCTCACGAGCCGGCTGCGGAAGAGAGTCCTGCCAGCAGGTCGGCCTTGCTTCCTTCCTCCCTCCCTCTCTTCCCGACAGAGCGGACGGCGCCCGCCCGCAGCTCCCGGGGCGGGGCTGGGCGGGGGCGGTGCCGCTCCAGGGCCCGTCACGCAGCGCCCGCCGCTGCTCCAGCGCCTGCGGCTGCGCGCGCTCGGAACGGGGGGGGGCGGGCGGCGGCCGCAGCCTTTGTACGGGGCGGGAGAAGGAGCCCCCACTCCCCGGGACAGCCGGGGCACCGGTGAGGATCCCTCGTTCTCCCTCGGCAGTTTCCCGGAGAGGCGGCGGGGAAGGGCCGACGATGGACCTCGATGGGCCGGACGCCGCCCGCCGGGAGGCAGAGCTGGAGCGCGGCCGCTACTTGAGCCGCCGGGCCGTGGCCCAGGAGCAGCTGGCGCGGTGAGTCCGGCGGCGGGGCCCGGGGAGTGGGGCGGGTTTGGGTTATAAACCTTCCCGCGGCCAGCCCGGCGCGGGCGGGACCCGGGAGCTGTTTGGCGCTAACCCGGGTCGGCGGAGCTGCCCCGGCCGCGCCCAGCGGTGCCGTACCCAGGGCTGCGTGACTCACTGCTCTCCAACAACGCTTTCACATCGTCCTCGATCCGTGGTCAGGCTGAGAACTCGTCACCTCTCCTCACCCTCTGGTTCCTCCGTGACTCTGTTCTCCAGCTTCAGAAACGTCTCTTGCTGTCGTCAGGGGCTATGTCTATCCTAATAAATTAAACAAGACTCTAAATTCTGGCACTGAGAGCAAGGGGCAAAATCCTTTGTTATTGCTGCTTCCCCCAGCCCAGAAGCCTTCACATATCTAGCTAGCATGGGCAGCATGGCCATGCCTTGCACAGTGCTGTGGCACTGCTTGGAAGACAGCTAGATGGCAAAGGCCCAGGTTGTACAGAGAGCGGGCTAACAATTAAACAGGCTAATCAATTTCAATATAATATTTGAGTCCATATTCTGGTCGTGTTTGCTTTTGCTAGTTTAGACCAGCACCCTCTAGGACCAGCACCAGACCAGGACTGAGCTTTGGCCAAAGAATATGGAGCTAGCTTATAAAAACTGTGATTCTAGTTTTGATCTCTGACATTCTACTTTCACTTCAAAGTACGTTAAAGTACCTGTAGATGTGCAGAATCTGTATCTGTTCATTATTACTTCACACAGTCCGTAGCTTGTTTATTCACTTCCCTTTTCCAATTTAGAATAAAGGAGCACAAGGATCAGGCATATCTGGCCAAGCTAGAAAACAAAAGAAAAGGGGAACAAATACAGAGATCGACCCAATTGTACCAACTGGAAATTCAGAGAGGAAAAGAAAAGGAACAGGAGGAAAAAGTTGAATGGCAGAGGCTGCATCATGTAAGTAACAGGAAAGCAGACAATCCAAAATGCTTGTTTCACCTTGGCTGCGATGGTTGCACTCAGCCCACAAATCAAGTGGCCTGCAGGCAACAGGGACTGTGCTGGCACCTTCAGCAGTGTGGGATCAAATGCCTCCTTTGTGCTTTTCAGAAAGGCCTCTTGGAAGTTGTTATGTAGCACCTGAGCTTTGACTGGTGTACAGTGGAAAAAGTCTGCTAGAAACAGCAAGGAGATTGTCCTTGATTTGAGAACTGGATTTAGGTTCCATGTAATTGCTCTGTTTTAAGCCCACTTTTCTTTGTTAGGAAGAGGGAATAGCCTGACTATGACAGTATCTTTTAAACTTGTCTTTCCATTTATGATTGGTGATGTCCTACTTACCATGCCTACTGTTTCCCTGCCTGTGCCTGCTTGAGCAAGGAGACTGAAGTGGAGGTACTGAGATGATTCATTCACATGTGAGAGAGTAAAAGGAGAGAATTCTTGCTAAAACCCTACTTGCTTTTTATCCCCCCATACTCCTCACCCCAAATATACAAATTTTATCCCATTCCCCCAACCTTGTATATGCAATAAAAGCCATACATATTGCCAAGCTATACAACTGCCATCACAAAATGCTTTGCATTTTGATGGTTCTATGGACTCTTACTGTTTGAGCCCTTCAGAATCTGCACTGTGTGAATGATATATTGGATGGAAATAATACAGTTGGAACTGCTGGGGAAGTATAGGAAAGAATATAAAGATACTGTGGTTGGGGCTGCAACCACACACTAATTTTGCTTTTGTTGTAGTTTGTCATAAGTAGGTCATGAGAATTATCTTCCATCTCTGGGTTTCTATCTTCTATAGCTTCTCCACTGATACAAAGAACTCATCATTATAGATGAGGCCTGAAGTCTTTGTTAGAACTTTTTTTCAGTTCATGTTTCCAAAATCTTGTTCTACATGAAAATAAAAGTAGTTTTCCATTTAAACAGGAATATGTAGCTGAACAGAAAGTAATTAAAGCTGAAGAGAAACAAAAAGAAGACAAAGATGATGATTGGATTAAAGCTTATATTAAAGGTAAAGAAATGATGGCTGATCTGGCAAGAGAAAAAGATGCAGAGACTAACAGGTGGGTCTAGGGATGCAGAGACTAACAGGTGGGTCTAACAGTTTTCAGTGTTAAGATTCAAACTTGCAATTAAATTATGTGAAAAATGTTATTCACAATTGTTATATCAGCAAAATCAGAAGTTCGATGCAAGCAATTTTTCTGTAATTCAAACTTGAAAGAGAAAGTGCAGAAAAAATGCCTACCAGTTCCAGCAGGAATTGGTGCTGTTGGGGGTGGAGGTGGGGTTGCTGGTGTTGTTAGGACCAGTGCCTCAGGTATCCTGGTGTGTTACAGTAGCTCGTGTTCTTCTGCAGGCTGATGTAGAAGCATACGGACAAAGCTTTTGAAAAACTATCTGCACAGATGAACAAGGCATTTAAGATTGAAGATGACTGCCTTGTGAGAGGAGCTGCAGAGGTAGAAGCTGAATACCAAATGAAAAACTAGGAAAAAGAAGCAAGACAGAAGGCTGCCATTGAATCTATTGCTGAATACAGAGCCACTGTGGTAAGAAACCTGGGCTGATCTTACTGCTGCTTACTCCAGCCGAGGAGCCTGGCCCAGATCACAGCTGGCTCTGGTGCCATGCCTCAGCAGGCTTCATCAAGTCCACTGACATCTTTCCTGGGGTCCCCTCTCCCACTTCCACGTTGGGTGCACATCTGCCAGGGCTGCTGAAAACCCTGGGCTTGGAGACTGGCCAGCCACAATGACAATGCTTCTTGGAGCGTTGATACAGGGCTGCTTCTGCTGAGAGAGATGACTTTCAGCTTAGAAGGACACCTCCTTGGTTAACTTTTTGTGTGTGTTTTGTAAAACTACAGATTAAGATGAAAGAGGAAAAGGAGAGACAGGAAAAAGAAAAGGATGAGAGGGATCGTAATCAGTGGATGACAGAAGACAGCATCTACCAGGAAATGGAAGAAGCCAAGAAACAAAGACAATGTGATGCAAACATGGAAGTACAGGAAATTCAGATCCAGCAAATAGTAAGTAGAGAGCTGTACCCTGTCAACCCCTTCAGAAAGAAGGATGCTTCTGAACCCATAGTACTAGATCTTGGGTGGGAGAGAGAGAAGCAGCTTGCTATGGGTGTGATGTGCATGTTTTGTTTGGTTTTTATCTGTATACACTGCAGCTGCTGCTGTTGGAGAGATGACTGGCTCTGTATCCATCCATAGCATGGCCCACAAGGGGCTTGTTTGTGGAATGAGGAAGCTGCTGCTCAGAACTTGACAACGATGATGCACATGTTTCAGAGGTTTATGAGCCTCCTCTTAGAGCAGTAGAACAGAAGCCTCTTCCAGGCTGACTCAGCCCTGCTGGTCAGGGAGAATTATTAGCTGCCAGGACTGCTAATAAGAGATCAACAATGACAGACCACATCCTGTCCTCCTGTGCCATTATGCCATTTTTTCAACCATGCACTGCTGTCCTCTCTTCTGGGCAGGCCACCAAAAAGCAGCAGCTAATGCTGATGTTCACTCATCTGTTTAATGTACCCTTTTTGTGGGGAGTACATTAGGGGAGAGAAGGGGGAGCGATGATACTTGCCAAGTATCAACTAACACCACTGTAGGTCTCCCATAAGCTTTTACTCTCTCTAAGCTTTACAGGATAGAGATGTTGAGAACAAAATACTGAGTTTTGTTATTCCCTTCTCTTCTTCAGGCTGAAAAGCAGGCAAAAAAACAGCAGGAAAAGCAAGCAGACTTGGATTACGATGCTCAGAAACTGCTTTTCATCAGGATCAAGCATTTTGGAGATAAAGACAGTGAGTAACTGAATCAGTGCCATTACTAATGTAATTTTTATTCTCTTCAAGCATCCAAGGAAGGAACAAGATGTGTCCTAACTAGGACAACTGCAAGAGTAGTGGAATGGATACATATGCAGTATTAAAAAAAGCAATGGGGGGAGCAAGGAAAGATGGTTGATGTAATGCTGTCCATTTTTTTCCTGCCACATGTCCATGAGCCCCCAGCTTGCTCCAGACTGAGCAAACACATGGCATTGTGCAGGAGTATTAGAGCCTGCTTTGCCCCTCACAGCCCTGCCTAAGTGCAGGGCCAAGAACTCTCCTCAGGGCCAACACAGACCCAGTTATTGTCTTGGTCAGTCCTGCTGCAGTCTGGGCTGCTGCACTCTTTTTGGACAGCAGAACATGGCTGGGTGGAGCTCACTGACTCTGTACCCATGTCAGTTAGCATGGCCCATTATTCTGTGATGTGAACCAAAGCACAGTAAGTAGGAATAATCAAGAGACTTGTTTCAAAACCTCACTTGTGACCTAAAGTAAAATAGTAACATTTCTGCACTATCAACTAGAAGTCACAGAGAGTTCTCTCCACTTATCTTGAAGTAATTAATTTTGGAAATTCTATATTAAAAAAGAGACATGACAATTAGCTAGTGACAGTCAGAAAAAAGCAACATGTACTGGAAGAAGCAAGCATTACTGAGCAGACCAGTAAAAATCCAGCAACTGGCACAGTGGACAAGGGCAAAATTAGACTATCTTTGGTAAAGCTTACAGGACAAGTATTTCTGCATTAGTTTCAGTTACAATCTATCACTGTGCATACAGTTAAGAGTAGCTACTAATTATACACCTAAACTCTGTTTCTTTTTTCTTCAGAAATATATTTGACTACTATCTAAGTATCTACAAAAGAAAAGGAACCTTGCCATTCTCTCCTTCCAAGTTCTTTATGCCTGCAAAACCTATCAGTGCCCAATAGCTGAAGCTAACTCTGGAGCAAGTTACAAAACATGCTGTTTGCCAAAACCTGCCTATACTCAACTTCGGCTCAAGAAACAAGTGCCATAGTTCACAACTGTACTTTAACTAGTCTAATTTTATTATGGAACAAAGCAGTAGATTCACTTTTTACGAGGTCAAGAGGTAACAACCACAGGTAAACTATCAGTACTGTACTCCTAGAGTATTGCTGGGCCTCCAGCCTTAATTCAAACCTTACGTTTTGGCCTAAAAAAAAAAGTCTTACTGAGCAAACAATAAAATTGAGTAAGCTGTTTAAAACATCTGCATTTTAAAACATCCATGTTGACTGTGTCTTTTATTCGTGACAGTTTTCTACTTGCTTTTACTTAGGAGAACGTATTGGAAGGTAGAAATACTATCTTGAGAAGTTGTGGCACTGGCTGAGTCTTTAATCCTTTATGGGAAAGAAATGTCTGCAGTAAGACTGTGCGTATCTAGTACTCCAGCTAACCTAACTGTAGGGCATGGGAAAAAACACTTCCCTGCTTTCTACTAAACACTCTGCTCTCAGCTCAGCCAGGTTGCCATGCTGACATACTGCTGTAGGTGACTTTTTGATCAAAAGTTGTTCTTCCACTCGGTTCTAAACTGACTGTAAGCTGTTCTACCACTCCATTTACATTCACATCGAACAAGCAGTTCTTCTGTAACTAGTGAAAACTATTCTGCTTCACACACGCACACAGATTTGCATTTGTGCAAGTACAAGATCAAAGCTGGCAACAGGCAAAGTTTGCAATTCAGACACAAGATCAGCTTCACTGCATGGCTGCATTTTTATATGTTACAATATGTAGATAGTGAATAGGCTGTCATTTGCCATTCTGTAGTAGAAGCTCTTAATTGCACCTACTATTAACACTGTCATCCAGTTCAACATGGAATAAAAATCTAACTTCACACTTCCAGTAAAAACATACAGATCTTGGTTTAACTGAAGAGGTCCTGACATCAAATCACTATGGCCTGTAAATCTATACTAACAGTACTGCCACTCAAAAGGCTGGAGATTGGACTCTCAGAAGCACATTTAGCCTGAGATCAGCTCAGCTGGTTACAGCACAGTGCTAATAGTGACAAGGTTGTGGTTTGATCCCTGCTTGGGTCAATGATCCTTATGGGTCCCTTCCAGCTCAGAATATTCCGTGAATTTGCATGCACAGGTTGCACCATTTGACTTAGAAGTGAGTATTTCTCTAAATGCAGAAGATGCTAATACTGCGAGAAGCACACGTGGCAGACATGGAATACACTAACAAATATGCAAAAAAGTATTTATTTCTGAGAAGTACTTTAGTGCACAAGTTGTACATTTTGTATCAAGAACTCATTCTCCCAGCTGACAACTGGATCATCTTTCCTGTTAGGGAGTATAAATTACAAAAGACTAAGAATAATTACAAAATACTCTGATAAATGCTACATGCACAATACTGCCAGTATAACCAACAATTATTTTAGCTGAAGGAACCCAGCTATCACCTAGTTCCTCCTACCACTGTTCATAAATTAATATTTCTAAATTTTCCAATCCTTCCAACCATTCTTTTCATTAGCAGCTATGGCTAAAGCCACACACAGACTTCTTTTTATAATGGGGATATGTCTAACTTTCTGCCAAAAATAGCAAGTTTCCTTAAGTGCTTTACATGTTGCAAAATTTAAATTCAGAGTTAGGGTGCTGCATTAATTCAGTTTATTTAGTCTTTTTAATGTGTTAGTACTTCTATGAATACAAATATAAATTTTAAACTAATCATACGCATATACAGCAGTTCAAGACCTCTCTTCTGAACATACTCATGTTAACTGCCCTATTAGTTTGATTTGAACAATGACTTTATGATTAAGGAAAGACACTAATTTAATTCTTTAACAAAATGTACCTTTATGTAGTTTTGCTATCTAAACTCATCACTTTTATTGTATTTTTTACTGCTGTTCCTTTTGTGAAATTTCATACTAAAACTGGAAAACATTTTCACATATCTTAAAAAAAAAGGCAGGTGAAGATTACTTTTGGGTTTTGTGCAACAAAGTTTTGTTAGAACAGTGTTGCTAATGACATGAATTTTTCAAGGGTAAGAAGTAAGAATTATACTAAAAGTACATATGCTGTCAAAATGGAAGGTTAGTTTTATGCTAGGTAACTACAAAACTGTACCAAATTAAAATTTTGCAAAATGCTGAGTTCACAGATTCTTGATATGCATTTTTTTTGATAATTTAGCTAAATACTGCATTAGGAAAATTACTATTTTCAGCAAAAGAAGGAAAGTACATGTAACAGTTATTTACATTTCTATTACATTGGCTCTAAAAGTGTGAAGATTAATTTTGTCACTGGTATCCTCAGGTTTAAGTTGAACATTAACAACCACAACAAAACCCCTCACCAAACAAACAAAAAGAAAAAACAATAAAACCCACAAAAAACACTCCAAAACCACAAAAACCAAAAACCCCAAACAAAACAAACAACCCCTCAAAAAGACTTTCATGGCTGCTGCTTTGATAAAGTATAGTACATATATCTTTAGATTTTCTATTAGAAGGAAAGTCCTAAAAGCAGGAATATACATTTTTGTCTATCAGAAAAGCAATAAGTCTACTATGCCCCTAGAGGTGTGTCCAAAAATACTTTATTTGCTTCAATAAATCAACAGTTCCAGAAAAGGCAGCTAAAGGACTGCTTTGTTTGTGTTTACATTAATCTAAAATCCACTTGCCAGACTGACACTATTACAAATCAGACTTTGTTAGGGGATCACTGCAAATTCTTCAGGGCATATGACAAAGAACACTTCAATAAAAGCCCGTAGTGTGGGATTTCATGTACAAAGCGCAAAGTTTCAGGCTAAAATTCTAACCACCAGATAGAACAAAGGGTTAAAATGTAACCATTGCCTTTTTTCTTTCTAAATAACAACCAACCCAAACAAACAGGGCAACAACTGAAACACTGTGTCTGTGTTAAGGAATTATCAGACACCAACACATTTTTTACAGGTAATAGTGTCTACACAACCTTAAATTCTATCTACCCTCCTCAGTAAGAATTTCTGCCTCTGAGTTGGTGGCAGTACCCAGAAATTCCAGCATCAAACAGTCTCTTTTTGATAAAGTTTGTAAAGCTACTGCCAATACTAATTTCAGCATTTCATGTATATACAGGCTGTATGGTATTAGTAAAATGTCAGTATCTACTGTCAGTACAACAGAGAATGCATGTCTAGCCTTTGGAAGTTATTTCAAGCCTGTATGTACACCTAAACACATGCTCATAAAGCTAGTCCAGTAATCCTTGCCCTCATTTTACCTTGTGTCTTAGGGTTCACAAATTCTCTGGAGTAGGATGAGTTCTGGGGTACAGCAGAAAAAACTGTATTCTACAAGTACTACTTTTTTCTGCATTCACAAGGAAAGACCATGAGCTTTCCCCCCTACCCCCCTCTGGTACACTTACATATTGCTTTAAAATACACTTCCAGATCACTTCTCTGAGGCACTGAGCTACACTGTGACTACAGCACCAGGTGGTTACTGTGAGGCTGAGAACAGGAAAGCTCTGCCATTGAAAGAGGAAACAGCTCAAGGACTGCAAGAGCAGAAGTCAGTGAGTGCCTCCTTATCTGGCAGCAAGAACTGACTGGTGCTTGAAGACATCTTGCTGTCCCTGGGATTGTGCTTCGGTCCCACCAAATTTTTAATCAACATTCTCAGTTTCCAGTTTGATAAAGAAATGCATGAATCTGGCAAACCCACCCTCGTACAAGACTGCAGTTGTGTTTCAGTTTAAACAAAGTGATCAGCACTACACCAATTTACCATCAAATATGATATACAGGCAAGGTATGCACTCATCAAAAGATCAAGTGTATCCCACCATGTGCAATTTAATGTAACCAGCTTTTAAAAAAAACATACATTAGAAACAAGAAAATGAGCTTTGTGCCACCAACTCAGATGAATTTTTAAAGTGCTATGGAAGAATTAGAGTTCCTTTAATTTGTACAAATAATTTTCTGAATTGTAACAAAGAAAAAAGTCCACATGAAAGGGTACAGAAGTGCATATTTTGAAATAACTAGTTACAACTGCAAGCTATAACTGGATATAATCTCCATTTTGAGATTTTAAATTAAAGACTGTTGTTTTGGGTTTTTTTAACAATTTCTATGTATTGCTGTATTGCTGACTGCTTGCATTTCCTCCCTTCTACAGCAGTCATTATAGTTGCAGACTGTTTTGTTTGCATGCTTATACGAGCTTTAGTGATATTGGCAAGAATATTCTCATTAGTGCAAACATACTTTTTCAGCAACAGCTTGTGTCTCAGCTCCATTAAAAATAACAGAAGAACATTGCAAACAGATTTTAAATGAGACTTTGAAGCACATGGCATGCATAGCACAGTATAAATGCACCAAGGAAGGCTTTGTTTAGGCTGCCACACAATTTCTGAAGCTTAACTTCCTACCTTTTTCTTACTACAGTCCCCCAAAATAGGACTACAACTTCTCCAAAGTCCTCCAAAGTTCAGACAGAATAGGTCCACTATACAGGTCTTTGGTTCACTCCTAAGTTCTCTTAAGTAACAGCTGTATCATCCAACCACATGTGGACTTGGGAACATTTTTAAACATTCTGCATAAAATGACCACTCTTGTGCAAAATTCATACTAAAACATAGGGGAAAAGCACTTGATAGCCAAAGCAGCTCCACTAACTATTATGCTAGAAAGTAACTCAACATACTTCTAGTTTTCTTCCTTTAAAAATGCTGCTTAAGTTGTTCATAATCCTCTGTTTTCTTTTGCTTTCAAGACAAAACTTTTTTCCTTTGGAGTAACAACTGCTGGATCACAATGTAAAGCCAAGTTTCAGCAATTCTGCTAATCTGCTGTAAACATACACTGTTTACACACTGATCATAAACTGGCTTATAGAGTGAAAATGTTGACAAGCTCATAACAAAGACAGTAACAACAAATTATGTCACACAGTGAAAGATTTGGCAAAAATTTCAACTATTACAATATTGTCTTGCTTTGACACAGCTTAACATTAATGCTTGTCACTTCTCTTCAGGATTTTAAAGATTTGCCAGCCTTTGGTGTGAATAGTTCAAAGGACTGGAAGGAGTGTTGGTGTTTGTACCAAATCTCTCCTCCTGTTGGCCCACTGTGTTAAGTCACCACACACCAGTGGCTCTTTGGGGACGCACACACTGGGACACTCCTGCAGCAACACAAGCCAAACTCTTTCTCTTTGACATGAAGGCCTGGTGGTGAAATAGAAACTGGGGTGGGACCTACAGGCAGGAGAGGAAAGCAGAAAAGGGAGGGAATTGGTTTGAGGGACACACACACGTAGTAGGGAATGAGATGGAATTCACAGTACGGTCTTTAGAATGAAGAGAAACAGGGAGGAAAGCAAATTTCAGTTTAAAAACAAAATAAATATTAAGAGCCTATCTTAAAACATTACTTGAAATTCCGTTTCAACTACTCCAAAAACCAATACTGGAGAATAGCAATAGTTTTGTCTTAGACTTAAGGAGCAAGAGTTGAAAGGATTTCCTGATTCCTTACTCTAACACCCACTGTAAATTCTGGTAATCTGTTTCCTCTCTGTGGATCCACTAGTCAGCAACTGAGACAGAGCACTCTGAAGCCTCCAAACTGAATTTTCTGCAGTAGACAAACACAAAAGCATGGAACAGAAAAAGGTTACGGGGAAGAAAGTTACACTGATGAGCATTTAAAAATATTTTTTAGGACAAACAAATAGCTCCCAAACAGATGACTGCCTTACAATATGAATGAATTCTACTATTGGCAGTGACAGAAATACAAACCATGAAGATTTACTTAAATTAAGTCACTTTGTGATTAAAATAAAACTAGCATAATTTACCTCTATAAATAAATTTCCTTAGGATTTATACCTACTGAAATACAGATGCAGCAACACTGGAGCAATGGACACCTTGCAACAGACTCCTAGCTTTAAGATGACATGTAGTATATCTGCAGCTTTCTTCTTCACATATGGAACAAGCCTCTTCACAGGCAGCCATTGCTTGCACTGAACTATGTTCATCAGGTAAAAAATAAATGTGGCATAGAAGTTACCTTTCTAGCTGACAACACATAAGAAGGATACAAATTCAATGAAATACTTAAAACACAGCACACTGTATTACACATATAATTTGTTTTTCATTTCAAGTTTATTAAAACTTTAGCAGTACAAATGATCCAGGTTTTAGATTATCAAAAGACCAAACTGAAGTCTGCATCTTTAAAAAAGGCGTTCCCCAAAATGTCTCTAAAACTCTGAGACGATGGAAACATTAAGTCCACAAACTCATCCATGCCTGTCGTCATCTGTTCCAGGACTTGTTTCATGATCAGACTTTTTATCCTTACTAGGGGCATGATCTCTTTCCTGACTCTTTGATTTTTGGTTTATTTCTTTTTCTGCTGAGGATCTGGTCTTTTCCTTTTCTTTACTGCTGCGTGAATATGACTTTTTTGATTCTCTCTCTTTGCTACTTGGTCTCTTTTTTGAGTCTGGACTTCTATCCTGATCTCTACTAGACTTCTTATCTTTGCTGGATTCAGGACTACTACTTTCACGGCTTTTTGAACGCCTCTTCCTTTGGCTTTCACTATCATTCCTCTTATATGAGCTTCTACTTTCCCTATTTGAATACCTATCTCTGTTTCTGCTTTGACTTTCATCCCTCTCTGAACTCCTTGAGTCTCTCCTCCTCCTGTTTTCTCTTCCTCTGTATCTATCTGGTGTACCTCTCCTTTCTCTGCTTCTTGATCTTCCTCTTCTTCTTGTTTCTCTATCTCTATTCCTTGAATAGTCTTTACTTCTACTACGATCCCTGTCCCTGCTTCTTGATCTTCCTCTCCTACTCCTATCTCGACTTTTGCTTCGATCCCTTGTTCTACTGCTGGAACTATGTTTTCCTCTAGCATGCTCACGCTCTTTGCTTCTTGACTTACGTTTCTCCCTGTCTCTGCTCTTCCTATGCTCTTGTTCATTACTTCTTGAGCCTGCCCTTTTACTTCTCTCCTTGCTCCTACTTCTTTCTTTATCTCTCCCTCTAGAATCATAGCGCTTTTCTTTTTCTCTGCCTTTCTCATGGTCTCTCTCTTTGCTTCTTGATCTTATTCTCTTTTCATCATGTCTACTGTGCTTGGAGTCTCTTTCTTTACTTTTTGATTTCTCTCGGCTTTTACTATGGCTTCTAGATTTAGCTCTCTTCTTGGCCTTGCTTTTGTTATGCTTATCATCTTTATCTGAATTCCTTCTTGTCTCCCTGTCTTTGCTGCTGGATTTGTGATCTTTTTTCTTCTCTTTTTCCCCTCTTCGGCTTGGACTTTCAGAAACTTGTCTGTGGTCTGATATTTTTCTCTCTCTTCCTCTTCCTGGGCTCTTTTGATTATCTTTCTTGGTTTCATTTAGTTCACTCCTTGGAGAGAGAAAGATAAAGTTTTTTAAACTTTTTAAATCCCCTCCACTCTGAAAAAATTAAATCAGAAGTGAGACAGCCTCACAACTGAAACTTAAATCACATCAGGTCTAACTATGTATTTATAGTAGCAGTAGCATCAGTAAAATCAGACACTGTTAAGTAATGGGATAACCAAGTCAGCACCCTGTTTTTTTGAAAGTAACTGTAACTGAAAATCCAAGATGACTTATTACTTTTAAATATATTAAAAAAAAAAAATTCAGTGCATATATTCCAGAAAGAAATAATCTTACTTGTCCCCTTTTATCCATCTTTCTCCACTAGACACTCTCATTCTTTGAGCTCTTTGCATTTCTTGCCTCCAATGTGGAGGAGTTTCACTGCGTCGGAAACGATCTCTTGACCTGGATCTGGAAGGTGTCCGGTAACGCTTGAAGGCAAAGAGAGGAAATTGGGTGTAAGTTTGAATTCCACATGCTGTGATATCTAAGCAAGATTGTTATCCCTGGCAGTCAGTTCTACATCGCACCTGCCATGACACTTCACGTGTATATACCAAGTTACTAACTTACTGACAAATAAATCTCACGTTCAGCTAAAGCAGGAATACAAAATGTCTGATCAAAAACTATTTTTAAGGTAACTTCTACTTCAGGATTTGTGTAGTTTGATGAGAGGTTTTCTATTGCTTTTAATTACCGCAAATGCAAGTCTCTTTTCCAACAATTAAAATTCTTATCTTTGACAAGCAACACAAAAACAGTACTTCATAATTTCTAAGGATTTTACTAAAAATTTGAGGGATAGAGACTTCAGTTACTAAAAACATTTAATACAAGCAGCACACAGCATATGGCTTCACAATATTAGAAAACCTAATCTGACTGCTGCCCCCTGCCAAAAAGAAGTCTTTCCCTGCATTCCTGGCACTGATGATGTACTGGTTCTGTGTTTAACTAGAACCCTTTTTGACTTATTACCACAGTAATAAAAATAAAGCATTTTTAAGTTTTTCTCTCACCCCCTCCTTCAAAAAGACTCAGTATGCAAGCAGGTAATTAATCTAATTTTCCTTCCTGTCTTCCTTCAAGCCTCAGCCCCCAAATCAATTATGCTGCACTTTTTTTTAAATCAACTATCCTAATGAAAAGGGTTACTAACATCAGCAGTGAGGCTGTGCTACCACCTTCTAAATTTTGGAGAACACATTGTAAACATTTACCCTTGGTCCTCTTCCTTTTATTTTCCTTCCAGATCTGGTCACTAACAGTCTCCTCTGGTACATTGACTGGGAATTCGATAGATTACTAAAAATAATTAACAAAGAGTGATATTGTTTATAACAGTAAGAAAGAAGGAAAGAGAAAAATTTTAAAACCTCTTCAGAAAATTAAACTAAATGAAACCACACAATTTTATTTTACTGCAGACAGTAATAAACACACAGTAAAATTTCAGATTTTGCGACCACAGAATATTTTAGAAAATTTCCAGGTTTTCCCATTTTTGAAAGAAGAATAAATTATAGATTCAGATTGGACAGTTCAGTTCCAATAAATTCTAAATGAAATTGCAATGCATTTTACTTTGCTTTTCTTGAATCAGTCATTATAAATTTTTTATTCACTAAAACCATTTTCAAAGACTAAGCCTTTGTTCTAGGACAAAGACAATAGTTGCCAGTAAAGGGAGAAATCCATTTTTCATCAAGCACTGCTCACAACATGGAACTGCTTAACAGGGAAAAGATTCAACATTAGAGTTCTAAAACAGTAATGTGACCAGACCACTGTCAGCACATAATCAGACTTAAAACAGATATATTACCTTTCTCTTTCCTTTTCTCTGCTTTTCCTCTCTTTTTCTTTGTCATCTACTTTAGGAGGACTTTTCCTCATCAGGAACCGGTTTTCAGGTACAGGAGGAATTTCTTCAGGACGGACAGTAGATAACGGCTGTGCTTCAGTGTTTTCATCTTCACTTTCACTGGAAGAGCTTTATTTTTGTATAAAAAACATGTAATAATTTGAGTTATGTGGATGAGGGAAGACCTTTCAATCTATTTAAATAATTCAGAAATTCTCTTAATACACAAGGATACCACAAGAATCTCAGAAACAAAGCTATTTCAGAAGCAACTTTTTTTTCCCCCTATAATATCTTTGCTCCAAAATATACAACTGCAGTAGATTTCTGACTAACATCTTTTATCCCTGAATTTCAATGATGCAACACTGAATATACACTTACTATTGAGATACAGCCTTTTTTGTTGGTTTAATTTCTTTTCTTTTAAAAACACAATCAGAAGAGTAAATTTCAGATTTTACACTAGCATATATAACTGCCTACAGACTATTGTAACTCCAAGTAGTTTACAAACTTAAGTGAAATGAGCTTAGGCTCACAGAAACAGTGTTTAGGCAGCATTGCTCTAAGTGACCATTTCTTAAATTTTACTGCTAGCTTAGAAAGATGTGACTTGCACCAACACAACTTGTATCTCACACTGAACTATAACAAAACTATCAGATCAAAAAGAACATTCTTGGAAGCAAGAGCGCTTTCTATTATCTTCCAGCAAAACTGCAAGAATTTTGGCATATCAAATAGAAGAAATGTTAAGAATGTTAATTTATTAATTTAATCATATTGTTTAATTTTGCTTTTATTTGTGCACACTGAAGTCCCACTGCATATAATTTAAACTGAATTGTACAGAAGTGAATTTAGGGAAAAAAGCTATCACCATTCATTTCAAACCAAGCATTTCTGCAATGTTTCAAGCCAAATAAGCCTAGTCCATTCCTTCACTGCATTACAAGCTGCAGCACATATAGAAAGGAAAACTACCCTTTGCCATCATATCAGAAAATTTATGCTTCTATATCGAAACTGACTGCCTCTTAAACTTCAAAAACCTACTTTGCTAGTTTACAGAATACTATTCTGTAGTTATAAGAAAAGGATACTGTATGGTGTACATGTAACAAAACAAAAAAAATCTCAATATTGACCTTTTCTTGCTTTTCTTTCTCTTTTTCTTTTCTTTCTTATGTTTCTTGGAATTTTTTTTGTGTTTCTTTTTCCGTTTTTTAGATTTCTCTTCCGAAGCACTCTCAGAATCCGATGAGGAATCAGAAGATGATTCTGAATCACTTGAACTTTCAGAGTCACTGGATGAGGAAGACGATTTGTGTCTCTTCTTTTCTTCTTTCTTGGCTTTAAATAAGAATAGCAAAGATATTTTCATATCAAACACTTCTAAACTAATCTCAGAAAAATCAACTTACCTACTACCTGTCTCAGCTTCTTAGAATTGTGCCATGAGAGACTACTTCATCAAATTATTTAAATTGAAATTATGGAGAAAACACTGTTTCTCCAAAGTATAATAAAGGGTATGTCTAGAAATATATAACACATTTCCAAAATCTGTATTTATGAAATTTTAAGTATAAAATTTGTACTATCAAGAATATGTAGAACCATATAAGTTTTCCAATTATGTTTTATACAACATAAGTTATATACAAGAAATTATTTAAAATTTATTTACAAAGTGTTTATAAAAAAATTTCTTTGGCTTCAGCTTTAATCTGACTTCATATAAAATCTACTTAAATCACTAATGAGAAATTCTGAAATAGAAGATAAGTGGCACAGACTAAACTGAGTACTCATTGAATTGAGCTCAGTATCTTATTCTGTCAGGTCTCACATTCAAAATGCAGTGATACATACAGTGGTGAAAGATTTCCTCTTCACAGTGATGCAGAACACCCACTTCCAAAAGAACTGGCTGAGATAAAACAACTGGATTACAACAAGGGGCTTAATTCAGGTAACTGCATCAGATACGTGGTACATATCTCAACAACCTCAAACTCTCTTTTTATGGTCGTACACTTTACGGATACTTTTTTCCCCCACCTTCTAATGTTACTGAATCCCCACACTGGCAGAGTGGATGAAGTTCAGTCCCATTGCTCTAAATCTCATTCAGTTTTCAGGTTTAGCACCACAGACAAGTCATACCTGTATGACTTATACATAGTATTTTCTATGTGTTTGTTTGCAAGTCTCATTTGATACAGACCAACAAAAGCCTGACAACCAACTGAAAAACAACCTCTGTACTTCATAGAGTACATGAGTCTTCCAGGTCATTTCTGGGTGCAGTATAAACTAGCAAGTAGTATTACCAGTTTAGGACAGCTTGCTGATTGAAATCGGCTGGTTCCCATCAGATGTTTTTAGGGCTTCTTGCAAAATGCTTCCAAAAGACAGATCTAATTATATTTCTTACTTCTCTTGTAGGTACAGACCAAGATAATTGCTGTCTTTTCTCAAACTTCTGCTCAACATCCTTATTAAAGCACTATATTTAATAAAAAGTATCTGTAATATTTTATATCAGCTTCAGATTGTCTAAATATATATAAATTCACAGAATGTAATATGTACATATTTAAAAAAGAAAACTGAACATTTTTCAAATTAATTTCAATCAAAGAAGCCTAGTGTCACACAGGCTGGGTGACAACAAATCAAAAAAGAGAAATCTCACCTGACCTCTAAATACTAAAAATACAAAAAGTATTAAAAAAGTTAAATGTTTCTTGTCTATTCAAACCTTTCAGGTTTGGCCCATTCAAAGGAAAATCATACTGTTTCCTACATGCCTTCAGGTAAAACAATATGTCTCCAAGCTCAATTTCAGAAATGTCTGAATAAGGCATTAATAAATGCAGTGATTTCCTGTATTTTCTCCCTCCTTCGTATGTTTCAAGTGTGCCAAAAACTATCTGTGACAGTTTTATCTGCATTCTTGTAACGAGGTCAGGTATGTTAAAGTTACTACTTTAAAATGAGTAAGTAATACATAAAAATAGAGGCTGAGCTGAGCAACTACCTCAACAAATATAATGTGTTTCTTAACATGCAGCAAATAACATTAAATGTATTTGAGAAATCATGTGGCAGGTAGGGAGTGAAATGACAAGGGCAAAAAAACCCTCCAAACCTCAAACAAAAGTAAAAAGCCCAGAACTATTTACACAGCAAAGACAGAGTATCCAGTAAGAGAGTCTGGATATACTTTCTGGTGACATCTAACTATGTGGTCCAGCAGCAAATGCTGTTTTGACTACTGAATCAACCTGGTGCTGGCCAATTACAGATCATAACAAATGAGACCAATCCTGCAGCATGAAGGTCATCGAGAAACACACTTCTATTTACAGTCCAACTGTTCCAGCTCATTACCTTCAGGATCAGGTTTCAACTTATGACCACATCTGAAATAGATATATCACTTCCTACTCCATTCACTGTCACGTACAGCATTTGCCTGACTTTAGGAATTACATGATCATGCTGCACGACACAATCAAGTATTCTCTGCATTTCAGCTTGTTAGGGACTGTAGCAAGTCCTACATTAGCCCCGTGAGTTGAAATTAAAAAACTACCTAGCCAGAAAACAGTCGGGTTCAGCCACAAAAGTCAGAACAAATCATGTCATCTTGTAATTCAGAGCAGTGACAACCAAATAGTTACCTTATATCAAATCAAATAACCTGTGCTGGACCACAGCAGTCTTCAGAAAAAGGGTGCCTTTATTTCAGGACATTTAGACAGTTATTTTCTCAGGTAATTTTTTCCAGTGTTCAGTTGCCTGCTGTTCAGTGTATCTTTTTTTCTATTTTGCCTTCATTATTTGACATGAATTCCTGTTACATCTTTCACTCCTTGTTGAAGAATCGACTGTTTCTCACAATGAAAATTATACACATTAGTCAAGTCCTCAGAGGTATGCATTAGGGAACACTACCACACTTGATTCTTGTTGATCAGATGACATGTTCACTGTGAGGAATCCTGTATCCCAAGTGCTTCTGGAATAGATGTCTTTGCAGACAAACAACCTACCACACTGCAACAGCAGAGGAAGGGGAAATAAAAAAAGCCAAAAAAAGCCACCTCCAGCTTCACTTGGAACAGTCAACACAGTTTGTACCTAGTGGCCAGTTCACTAGGGAAAAAAAATCTGGAACAGAGAAGCCTGAAACAACTGTTCACAGCAACCAGCTTGTGCAAAGGGGGCTAACAATGATGTGCGACAAGCCTGCAGAAGAAATGAATGCTCAAGGGTTTGAATGGATAAGTAAAGAGAGAGAGAGGATATGCAAATCAGAAGTCCACGTAAGACATGACTTGCCAGAATCACCACTTTCTGTGACTGTTCTTATTTCAAAGATATTTCATAATTCCTAAATGAGTAACTTTGTACTCTGTTTCAGTGGTTGATAATTTGTACTGATACTTTCTTTTGTACTGATAGAATTACCTAATTACAGTATTGTTCCTTGATGAATTATGAATGCAGCCATAATGTGCCTTAATTGCAAAAAGCACACTTCTACAAGCAGTGATTCTATGACATCAACAAAGATCATGAATCAAGCCTAGCACTGCCCTGTGCAGAATCCCCTAGAAAATCAGTTCTTGTGAGATTCTTCTTTTGTAATTTAGCTTCTCTCATTCATTTTCACTAATTCTTCCAACTTTAAGGAATTAAAAAAAAAAAGAAAAACAAAGGAAAATATGACAAACATTTTACTTTTCTAGGTGATCATCCTCTCAAATCCCAGGTAAAAACTTCATATAGGCCTCTGCAATATTGTAGTTGTGATTGCTGTATCATTCAATTCATAGCACCCAGTAAGGCAGCTCAGTCATCATACACTTATCCCTAAATAAATCCAATTCTTATATACAAAGGGATGATTTGCATCATTCATAAAGCACTTCACCTGGCTATTCATTGTGACACCCAAAAATCAGACCACCTTTCCTCAACTTTAACCTAAGAGAAAAACATTCATACCAAGCACCTAACTTCTACTGTGATTCCTTCTGCTAGTGCCACCTTGGCTTTCCTGTTAAACTGAAGTACCAGTTCTATTTTCATTTCATAAAGACCATCTAATTCCTTTCTTTGTGTTGCCTACCGGACAAGTTCATGCAATAAATATTTAAGGCTCCCTTGCTATCCTAATGTACCCTCCCACAGAAATTTCATCGTTATAGTTCCCTAACAGGCAACCTCCCTATTCCTTCATCTTAACAGCAAATTCTTAGAAGCAGTCTCCCCTGGTAACTGCCTCATATTTCACAGACTCCGTTCCCTTTTGCCTCCCATAGTACTGTACTATAACCAGTCCCACTGTTAGATGACTCTGTGTCAATCATCTTCCATGACACTGATTGTGTCCCAGACACAGCTCCTTCTATTGAGATTCCCTGGCCTACCTCCATTCACTGACAAGTCCAAGGGCCTCTCCTCTTCCCCTTGTGACCTCTGGACAGCAGCTTGGCAAATTTACTTCAGCTGATGGGTTTCAAACTGTTCCTCCTACTTCCGCTGCCCCAGGCCAGCACAGCTCATCAGTGGTTCCATGTTGTGCATTCAACTAACAGCTCCATCTCTCACAGTAGTGGCTCATTTCCCGCTGCAGGTCCTACACACAGCCTTTCCCTTTCATAAGTAGGATTCTCCGTTCACTAGGATTTCCACCATGGTCTGTCACGCAGCATCTTCACCAGGTTGGCTCTGCATTAGTGCCCATCAGGGCCTTTGTCTCACCCCACCCGCAACTCTGCTCTCCAACAGCCTGATCCTGGTGCCTAAGGCTTCTTGTTCTCCAAACACTCCTACTGCCCACCATTACCTAATACCGAGCCTTAGAGAGTGGGCTATCCCATCATCTTGGCATCAATTTCCCTCCATGGCACACCACACCAGCTACAGGAACCAGTTGCCAGGAATGCAGCAGGACTGACAAGGACACAGACAAATGGGTAGGGTAAGACTGTCAGATCTTTCCAGAAGTCCGTTCTCTTTAAGAAGCAAAAGAGAAAAACCCATTTTTTTGTATTTATTTCATTCACTCTTTTGATGACAAGTACTTTAAAGCCCTGCCTAATGGCTTTAAGTCATCAAACTGCTCAGTGCCATTTAGTCATTCAAGTGTTCTAGACTGGACTAAAGAGGGAGTGTGGCAATCCAGTTAAGACATATACAGTGTGTATCTCATCCACCAGCTTCACCCATCCCATATCTGTACTATTTTATTTTCTAATTACACCACCTGTGCATTTCCCAAGAGATACTATGCTCCTGAGCACTGTCCAGAAAAAACATAATTGTGTCCTCACACACAGGCTGACTTAGAACCTTTGAGAAGTCAGGAGCCATAATACAACTTTGCTTGGAATTCTGAAGTATTGATGAGGTAACTTCAGACTCCAAAGTCATAGTGTCAGATACCACAACATATGATACCACAACAGAACTGTATCAAAAAGTAGGGGAAAACCCCAGGAGCTCCAGTTCGAATGCTTGCATGTTCCTTAGGCCAAACAAGCAATTATTCTTGTGCTGTGCTTCAGTATCCTTGGTGCAACCCTTCACAGTATCAACAGAAGGTGCTACAAATGAAATAGCATGATGATCCCCCCCATAGTTCCTACAAAGCAAGCATCCTGGGTTTCCACTAAGGAGATTCTCCCACAGGGACAGCAACATCTTAGATTCTGCTTCTCTTACAAAATAAGGCTCAATCCAAGCTCTCATACCATGTTCGGTTCTGAAACAGCAGAGCAGGCCATCCCTTCCAGAAAGGACAGGTTCTGTCATATTCCTCTTTAAGAATATAGTTTATGGTAAATCAAAGTGTAAGAGCTAAAGAGCCAATTCCAGACTTTTCTAATCTAAGGGCCTGTTTTGAAGATTTACCTTAAAGAAAACTGAAACAAGTTTGCTACCTTCCAAAAAGAGTGTTAGGCTTAACACAGCACTCTACTTGCTACGACAAGAGCTTGCCAGCTTTGTACTAAAATTTAGCTAATATAAGAAAATCTAAGACAGGAGAAGCTTCGAAGAAAGCATATATGATTGTTCTTTAGTGTCTTTTGCATCAACAACTTTTAAGGTATTTACAGGACAAACTGCTCTGCAATGTTATTCACCTTTTCACCAATTGCCCCATCATCCATCACAAGTAAGTGTCTAAATATTTTTATAAGCAACCAACATGGAAGAAAATGAGCAAAATTACCTCTCAGTTTGCATCTGTAAAAATGTACAGTTCAACTTTACCTTTGGATTTTGGAATTAACTCTCCACAACTCAGTATGCGTACTTCAGCATATGGTTTACTAGATGCATCTGTTTTCTGGTTTTCTATTTCTCTCACAACTTCCTGACCTGAGATGACTTGTCCAAAAACAACATGATGTCTGAAGAATTTAAATAAAAATAAGAACTCTTAGTACTTAATTTTCTCAAGGCAGTTCCCAAACAAATGTAAGAAGAGGAAAAGAGATATTTACCCATCTAAATGAGGTGTAGGTTTAGTTGTTCTGTTGTTTCCAGATTTTAATTTAAAAGAGAAAAAAACAAAGCCAGTGTCAGTGAAAAGCAGTCAGCATTTGAAGCCATGTCATCTACACATATGAAGGTGAACATTATTTTGAGTGCGCTAATAATATTTAACAAAACAAATAGACATCATTCTGTGCACAGTTAAAAGTATTTAACGTCTTATATATTAAACTACCTATTCAATATTTTGATTAAACATTATACTGAAAAAAACCCACAAAATGGCACATACATTTTTAGACAGCATTCTCATATAGGATATAACAAGGTTCTACTTATTAACTTATATAAATACTACCAGGAACAGATACAAAAATCCTGTCTCACAGCATGAAAACTGCAAATAACCTTCTACACATCTGAAAATAATCAGAAAACACAGGAAAAAATAAATATTTGTATGTACAGATTATTTGACACAGAAGTAGAACTAACTTTCTCTCAGCTTTCCGCTCTACTAGCTTTACTAAGGCATACAGATGTCAGTCATGGCAGAGCAGAAAACTGGGATGATTGCAGTAATGATCACGCAGAAATCCCAAAATAAGGGTTAAATAATAGATGACATCCTTAACTCATTATATTAACTAAAGCCATGAAACATGGATAAGAGTGACGTATTTTGAGAATGTTTTCTGTAGGTAACATATTTAAGAAGAGTTGACTGCAATGTATTTTAAAATTTAAGTTTCAACTATAAATGAGACCGTATTGGAAAGTTATTTCACGACTAAAAAAAAAGCCCTCTACTACTTTTGAAAGCCCCCAGAGCTGTTTTGCTTCCTTCCAGACAGCAGTTATTAGTTAAAGTTATAAGAGTTCTACAAGGAACTAACAGGTTTGCTTTACTGGCCAAGTTAGAACACAGCTATTGAGAACCACCAAGAGCCCTTTTGCACAGACAATAAGCACTAAACACAAAAGGGATAAAACCAGTCAGGATCCCTAATCAGCACATTAGGTAAATGACTACTTTCATACAACTTTATGAAACACCATCAACTTTGGCTTTGCATAGCAGCTAGTCTTCAATATTTAAAAGGATTACCTTCACAGTTTACAAATAGCAAACCACACACACATTTCAATACTTACATAAAGAATTGTGAACCATTTGTATCTTTCCCTCGGTTGGCCATTGAAAGGAGAAATTCTTTGTTGTGCTTCACAGCAAAACTTTCATCTAAAGAAAGATTTTTCAGTTACTTTAAATATACCATATATGCTTGGGTAAATGCTATCATCTAAGTAAATTCATCCTTATTAAATAAATCTCCTAGTCACTTGAGTGAGAAGTTGTCTTAAAAATAGATTAAAAAATATGAATCAATGGTTTATAGCCTGAGGGGGGGGGGGAAATTTTAGTATTCTTGCTCAAAAGATTTGTCTCCTTAGACCATATAATTCTAAGTTTTTGCTCTTCCTATTTGGCACATACTGCACACTCTTTCTTTGGAGCAGAAGTTGTTTTTTTGGCTGTGCATTAACTCTTAAGAAGCCCCCTCAATTTCAGGCATTTTGTTATTTTATTATTTTTTAATACACATGGATATCCAGTTTGACAGCAATCCCAAACAACTTCTGTTTGTCTCTCAGACACACAGATGAATTTATTAAGTTGGCCAGGAAGAAAATCAGTTTAACTTGAACGAATCCTACTTCTTAAGAGCAAATACTTGTCAACAGTTCAAACTAAATCCCAATGAAACTGAAATTTAAGAAGTTCAAAATGTACTCATTACTCTTCATTTAAGACACCTGTAAGAGACAACCATCTCCCTCCTTTCTCAAAACAGCAAAAAGGCTGTTGGGGGATGCAAACTCTTCAGACAGAGCACATTTGTTCAATACTATTTGGATACATGCAGCAGGAGCAAGCAAGAAAAATATACAATATTTGTAATGCTATGTTTTTACATCACACTGTCACTGGCCATGAAAGGGACAGTCCCATCCACCCCCCAGTCACTGTACAAAGGCTAACTGGCACAGCATCAGACGTCAGTCTAATCCTATGGTGAGTTGCTTAAGTGAAGCACAAGAGCAAAACTTCCCATGAATTCAGTTTCACACTGTGTCCCAGTTGAACAGCCAATTTGCAACTGCCAGAATGTGAGGGTTGTGCTCATTCTTTCATCTCCCCCAGCCATACATTTCCTCAAACTCTGCTACTACTCATTAGTGTTTGTTCTGACGCTTGCCAAATTATTTCATTGGATCCATTCAATAATACGGAATTTTTTTTCCTGCAAAAATCTTTAGGCATTTTAGCAAGCTGAATCAGCTGGAAGTTTTATTGGACAGTCAGTGCAAGGTAAGGCCTCCTCCCTCTTTCAGCAGTGGCAAACCGTTGATTACACTCAAGGTCTGATATAAAATTGCACCTGGCCCTACTACAACAGCGAATAATTCTTTCAATTGTGTGCTGCAAGTTTGGACAAGAACCAATGTTAAAGGAAGTGTGTCTGGGAGGAGAGAGGAGCATAACCTCGCCTGCTGGTAGCAGCTGCCCATCATGTAGGCCTAGGTGTAATACAAAAACTGCTCCAAGAAACAGAGATGCTCCACTATATTCTGGACAAACACAGGCTGAGAAACAGCAAGTGCAACGTCTGCAACACTGGCTGAAAAAGAACCACGACTGTGAGAAAACAGATGGCTCTATCATTAATTCATCTTGGGCTTAGGAAAGCAGGGCTTTATGCATTCTTTTAAATAAATATTTGCTTCACACTTTTCTCCTTTTCACTTGAAAAAAAAAAAGACAATCCCCAACTTTTAGCTAGCTGGTCAAGCCAAAAGTAAATGTTTAAAAAAACAGAAATCTGGCAAGAGGGACAAATACTAAGAAGTTCAGTTTTAATTTTTCATTCATTAAAAAGGTTCATATCTTAAAAGTAAAATAAAATAACAGAAACTGGAGAGTCAAAGGCCTCTAAAGCCAGATGAAAGCTTAAAAACCACCAACAACAGAGTTCAGGTTTACAGAACAGAGACTACAGAATGTAAAAGGTGATTGATTATCATAACACCAAAATAGAGCAGACTGATAAAACTCTTACCTTCAAAAAAGCCACCATAAATGGATTCTCCTCCCCTGCCATTTCCTTGAAAGAGGAAAAGTGACAGTAAAAACAAAGCAGTGATTAAAGAGTCACGTTATGTGGAAGGTGCTTTGTGATACAAAATGTTGATGCAATTGCATCCAAGTCACTGACATTATTCTTCAAGATATGCAAACGTGACCAAGATGCATCTTTGTAGTCCAAAAGCAAACTTGGATTTATGCAGAAGAAAGGGAAAAAAGCAGTGATATCAAAGAATAATTAATATAAGTAAATGACACTACAGAGAACTTCTGCAAATGTTTTATTCCATAAGCATTCAAGTTTTCTTCAAAGATTCACGTCATACCTTCACTGAAGTCACCTCCTTGGATCATAAAGTCTTTCACAACCCTGTGAAACAGACAACTTTTGTAATGCAATGGCTTTTGGGTGGACTTTCCTGTACCCTTTTCACCTAAAGGAGAAGAGAATGAACAAAACCAAAAATTACTGTAGAATCTCCACTACAAAAAAGTGCTACATAAGCACTTAATCAAAATCACCTACTAAGCTATGAAAAACTGGCTTGTGAGGCAGACACCTACCTGTAATACCTGTAAGAAACTGGCATTTAAGAAAGTAGAGCAGAAACTACTTTCTGTCTCTACAGTTATACCAGAACTCCTTACTGACATTAGTATACAACTGCTCTCTTTCATGCAGATTGACTGAAATTAAACATTCAGTTTAGGTTTATTATAACTGACATTACTCAGAAACATGCATGAAACACTCAGATCTTCAGTTACAACACGGCAAGGTTAAGGTACCATAAAAGCTTGTAACAAAACCAGAGAGGTGGGGGAAGGAGGAGGACTCTGGTTCCCTCCCCTGCTCATGATTACAAACTGCCATCTTCCCCCCTCACATCAGCTCTGTGCTTAAGCAGACTCTCTGCTTCAGCTACAACATTATTTCCCTTCCCTGCTACCCTCAAATAGACAAGGTCTCTGCTGAGTTAGCAAGATGCATGGCTCATGGTGGGTCCTGTGCATGGTACAGCCAACCTCAAGGTAACAGTAGTCAGTGGGAGATCCCTTCTCAGGGAAGATCTCTTCTGCTCAGTGCTGGCAAACCACTAGACTGTATCTTCCTATAACCTTATCCTGAGCTACTAAATTGGCAGCTTTTGTCAAGGGCAGTTACCTCTGAACTTACTGTAACAGAGTGGTGCCTCCATATGGATTTGTATAGCTAGGAAAAAACCATTTTTGATAGGAACTCTGATAAATGTGAAGTTGTATATGTTCCACTAACTTAGCATATGCCTAACACAGGTATGCCAGGAAAACATGGAGCTGTTGGGCCCTGTTTTACAAAGAGAGCATACACTTTTCAAAATTGCCAGAAAAAAAGATGAGTAAGGAAAACAAATAAAATAAAAAATCTGAATTAATTTGCTGATGATTAGTATCATAAATATTCTGCCCATATATTTTTCTCACTATTCTTATGTGTTAAAGCAACAAAACAGTTTGGGATCTGAATTTGATTATAGATGTCAGTAACGAAGTATGAACTTAGTAGTACTTAAGGCAGTAGGAGGGAATAACACCTTTATGCAATAATCTGACTTTTAGGCAGTTGAGAGCAGATCAAGAATGCCATGGTCACGTGCTAACATAGTCACAGCCATTAAAACTCATCACTTTAAAGTTCAGATTTGTTAATAAATTTTGAAAATCTGATTTTGTGCCAGTAAGCCTAATGTCAGATCAAATAATATCTATATTCCTGCAGACACCAGGAATAGTGAACTACATGTTTTAGTAAACTTGATATGAATGTAATTATGCATCCACACCTGATTCAGATCATATTAGTACTGCTGAGTGATTCACTATTAATAGACCCTTGACCCGAAAAACAACAGAGCTGGAAGGAAAGGAAGCAGAAAAAGCTGAAGACAGAAAGCAGGTATGCTATTTACATATTCACAAAATTATTCTTGTGATAATAAATATAAGTTTTGCTAAACGGTCACCATTTGCAACAAAAGTATGCAATCTACAGGAAAATAATTCTATTTGGAAATGCTTCCAGGAGAGAACCTTCTGAGTATTTTCTTCAAGAAATAAAGTGAATTTCGATAGAAGTGGAAATCACCAGTTTCCATCAAGAAATTAAAATAAAGGAAAAAAACAATTAACGAATACCAGCGATACTTTTCAAATACCTCAAAGTAACATAAGACTGAAAAGTAAGTCTGCATGGTTGACCTTTTACTGGCTACCTTTCAAGACTGGATGATGTTATATAATGTGAACAGTAATATCTGTGCTAGTAACAGAAAATCAGCTTACTGTGCCTGTATTTAAAGTTGGCTAGTACATACTCCCTGCAACACACTAAGCCAAAGCTACAACAGCTTTGATTCCACATCATATGTATATGACAAATCAGCTAAACCAATGCTTAACTTACTTCTTTTTATCTGCAAGAAAACATCAGGAATAATAACAACCATCAAACCAGATAACATGATATTACATTAAAAATTACAGATTAAATTGTAAAGCCTACAAACCTGTGCAAAGGCAGCGAAAATTTTCACATGTCTTTGGACACACATCTGAAAACAACTCAAAGACCACTCTTCCAGCTAGAAAAAAAAGCACACCATATTTATTATGAAGTTAAATGGTATTTGAATTATTCTTACGCATATCTTATATGAATATTATGCTACTAAACGGGTGTTTTAATTTTCTTACCAGGTACATTGTTGATGGCTATGTCAAAAAAGCAACGAGGTCTCTGGACTTTTACTCCCATGGCTTCAGAAATTTAAATACTGTAAGTAATAAAAATAAAATTTAGTTTTTCCTTCTGTGTAGTAAAATTATGTGTAAGTCAATGCAGAAGACTTTACAAAGACAACAAAACCTGCAGAAAAGCAAAAAAAACCCCAATCCCCCCAAAAAAAAACATCAAAAAGAGAGACAACAAAGGCAAGCATTTTCTAGAATGAAAAGTATTTTTGGTCATTTTCATGTTTTGTAGACCCAAATAAGCAATTTTATTCACATTTGCTGCATTAACATTAAATTTAAACTTGATTGCAATAGTTCAGATGGGGAAATACAAAAGGAAAAGATACTGTAAGGTATGGGGAAGACTTAAGCATTCAATTTTTTAGGAATATATTTTCTGGATTCTTGTCACTGCAGTTACCAGGCTCCAGTTAGGACCTAAACCATTCTAGATGAAAAAAAAAACAAAGGTGTAGCTCTTCCAGAATTGCTGCTAAGTAAAATTATTCTGGCTTTTCCTTGTTTCTTTTTCTTTTATGTAATTGTTTATCTCTTTTGAGACGCCATCAATGGTGATATTTAAAAGATGAGCAGATGTGCTGCTTAAGGACCTGGTTTAACAGTGGACTTGGTACTGTTGGGTTTACTGTTTGACTCAATGGTCTTAGGGGTCTTTTCCAACCTAAATGATTCTATGATTCTTTATCGAGAATTTTAATGCAACTTTTCCCTTATCTTTGAGTATATAAATCCCTTTATTTTTGTGTAACAAGCTATGTCTTCATTCCATTTCCATCTCTGGCTTTCCAACATTATGTACATGTATATTCTTTTCTAAATCCCTATCCTCTCTGAGTTACTTCAGAGTGGAAAAAAAAAAACAATGACGGCAAAAGGATCTGTAAGACTGGAGTACCTTTTCCAGAATTTGGAATATAATCCATAAATTTTCAGTTCTAGTTATTTTTTATTGCCAGAAAACATGGCTCAAGTCTAGCTAACACACTGTACACATCTCTCCTAAAGCTTCACTCATAGCTGTACCACAGAACAGCCTTGAAAAATTCAATTGTCACCATCTGTCAACTCTCAGCTTATAAAAAAGAGGTTGTAAGAAATCAAGACAGCAGTGTAATCATGCTAGTCTATATTCTCTCTACTTATGCTGTTATTCCTAACATTTTGCCAAGATTACACAGCAAATATCACAAGAACAATGCAGGACTGGTTTAAAGCAAACGCCACTCAGTAGTTAATTATTCATGTGATTTTTAGCAAGACAAGACTTCAAAAAATGCAGAATCTCACTACATATCCTCTAGGTGTGTAACAAGCACATTCATTCACACAAGCCAGATATTTGTCAAAAGCAGCAGGCTTATCTCAGTCTGCTTGGTACTCTCCCTGAGTTAGGATTTCTCTCCCATTACAACAAATTTTGTCACCAGGCAGAGAAACAGAGAGACAATGCCTGTAGCTGAGCACTTGGATGTCATCAGGTTAGCAGAAGGCCGACCAGGTCACCACACTGCTGCATGAACTCTGAGGCAGGGCAAGGAAGGCAGCAGTGTGGGCAAGGGAAGGGATGAGACAGGTGGTAGTGGACAGAGACTTTGAGAACTGAGACCAGTCCAAAGGACAGCCATCAACTCACTGTCAGCAGCAGAACAGACTATACAGTCGCATGGGATACTTTTTTCAAGGAAGTCCTTCAGAATAAATGGTACAATAAATACTGTTTGGTGGTAGAACTGATAGTTTTAACTGAACTGAGACATCTAAGGACCAGCAGTACCACAACTGATTGATTGCCTGTACCCAAACTCTAGTGCTTGACTGAGAAGTGATTTAATTCCTGGTTTACAAGCAATTTGCTTGAGAAATGTTCAGGTGTGCCTTAACATTTATATGCAGTACTTTAGCCAAAATAAATGCCAACTATCTTAATATGTGACAATTTTTATTTCAAACATTGATAATGACTAAAACTAAACTGTAAAATAAATATAAATATACCTATGTTAGTCAATTTTTAATTTGGTTTTGTAGAGAACAGGATGAGAGAGAGAAATCAGAAATAAAGAATTCTACCCAAAGCCTTATTCCCACCAACTTTTCTCAATGTGGTATTTCTCTACCTCTACATTGTCTCATGAACAGCGGAACAAATAAAGTTAGCCCATGTTCTAACCACTACCTCCAATGTTCCCTGCACTTTCCCTAAATCCTCCAGTAATATCCCCTAAATACCGGCTGCACTCGATTCTTGTATGCACTTCCTTGCATGAACTTACAATTATCTTCTGCACTGGTCTTCATTCCATGTCCAAATGAAGTGAACAATAAAGTGCATAAATTCATATTCCTAGCATTTTGTTTCAGACCATCTACAAATGCAGGAAGACAAAACTATATTGACATATATTTCAAAGATAGAAAGTAGAATCTCCAGAAATATGTTTGTAAGCAAAACTTTGAGTTCAGAAAATGCAAATACACGAAGTGAATACTGAACATATATCACATTCTTTACGGCTGTGGTTGCAGTCACTTGAAGACAATATAAATCTGGGCTGAAACCAGAACAGAAGGTTCCTACATCCATGTGTTTAGCTTTCATACAATCTACCTGGCTGCATAAAAACTAACCTTTCTTCCCCACTCCAAGGAAAGATTTGGCAGCAGCATATATCAGCTTAAAGTGATGGCAGAGGCACAGTCTAAAAATGTTGTATGTTCATTCCAGTATGGATTTAACTGGAAATAAATTTATGATTGCAAAATGGGAGACATGAAAATTTGTTCAGAGTTCCATTCCTGGGACAGAGCATCCAGCTGTATCAGTATGATACCGAAGACGTGAACAACAAAAACCCAACCAGCCCAACTCTCAAACTTCATCATTTCCTCAGCACTTTTCCCCAAACACCACCATCTTTTCCTCTGTACTTCATGATCCAAAACCTCTACATTAGCGGCAATGACATCTGAGGAAATTAAGTTTTTTTTTTTTTTCATTTTACTAATCAGCAGTACAGGATTTTTGTTGTCAGCATATTCAGAAATAAGGTACTACACTTGAATACATTTCACATTTAGGATGCTGTCTTCGCAATCACATGAATGTAACACATCAATAAGAAAAGAAGAAAACATTTGCTTTCTACACAGGTCTATGAAATTTATGCAGGAAGACTTTCCACTCATCACTAGAAATCACACATTATAGGTTTCAACTTGACTGCCCCTTCCAAGAAAAGCCAATCACAAAATGGATTTTTTAACATTCTTGCAGGCAAAAAGTGATTGACACCACTTTCCATCAGGCCTCCTTGTCTAGAAAAATGCTACAAGTCTGTTTTGGGCGACTGACATAGTATTTGTTTCCCTCTAAAAAAAGAAGTCAAATTAAGAGACATCTGGCAATATCAAACACTGTCTTCCATGGACAAGAGGCAATAGCCAGCTATCCTTCTAGGGAGACGTAAGAAAATATCCTCCTTAGATAGGTCCTGAACACAGCCCTAACACTACCACACTGGTAGCTCATTTATATCACTTTCAGTATGATTTTTTACAGTTATGAACAGGACTTTAGTCTTCTTGTACTAAGGTATAAGGAATGAACACTCAGTTATAACACCCCAGCTGGGAGAGGGTAGGATTCAGCTGAGAAGGCAGTACCATTCTCTTAAACTACTTAAAGAGAAACACAGGTTCCTACCGGAACATCCTCTCTATTTTTCTAGAAAAGAGGGAACTGCAATAAAAAACGTTGAAATATCTAACCACATTCTTATCACTAGCAAGTAAAATCTGAGTTTTCAAGTCTTAGCAGTAATTTTACATTATCTAATTTATGTAGAAGGTATTGTTTTTTCTCTGTTATGATTTGTGAAAAAATACTGGTGTTTTCTGGCAGGTCTGTGCACAAATAAGTACTGGTGGTTTTTTTTTAGCACAGCTTATAAAGTGCTAAGAGAAGGCAAGTTTTTGCATTGTATGAAAGGGGAAAAAAAGATTCCAAAGGGTGTAATCTCCAAGCCACATAAATCCCAAACTACTTTCAGCAATGGAATCCCTTCCTACCCATTACTGAAGACGACAATAAGGCGAGACAACCATGCAACAGTAGGACATAGTTCTGAATGCTGTTCCGTATTTGTCAACCATAACCACAAAAAGCTTGTTCTATCATCTTTTATTCTCATGTTCTCCTCCCTCCTCTACTTCTCTAGCTCTAGATCTCTTCTGTGCCTCATCACACCCTCCTACCTAAACCTCAGTGCATTAGGAGATGGCCAGACTTTCTCCCTGGCACTCACTGACTCTGCTCCTAAATGGAAGATGGCTCCCAAATGCACAAAGCATGGAGGAGTGAACTGGTAGTGGAGAGAACAGGTTACAGCACAGTAAAATCCTCCACTGCAGTACATATTCTTCACTCCAAATTCCCTCATAATCTACAGATTTTCTGAGATACTCCAAGGGAAAAAAAATAATCTTCTTTTGATAACAGCTTGAGGAGTGCTAGCTAATTAAACAAACAGTATTTGTTTCACAGAAGAGGACTGGAAAAATGGGAAGTTTTAATAAGAAATATAGTCCCAAAGGGTGCTCTCAGAGAACTATTGATGCTGGTATCCTTTTTATGCTCCCCTTCAGATCTACTTCGTATAAAGGAAATCACAGTATTTCTGAAATATTTAGAAATCATTTTTAAAAACTGATAAATCAAGCTCTGTGAGTTTAGATAAACTAATGCTTCATAAAGCATGTGTAACTTCCATATTATTATCACAGTTTTATCATGGTAGCACCTAAAAATTTGAGTCATACTGGATGCATACCCCAATGCATTAATGAATCGGAATAGTGAAACAAAATGGGGGGGAAAAAGAAAAAAAAAAAACCTGCAAAACAATCAACCTAGAAACATTTATCACTGTCCAAAGAACAGCCTCTTCTGCAAGCAATATAAAACAAAACCATGAAAAAACCAAACTATTCTCTCAGAAGACAAGATACAGCTTAGAAAATAGACTTTATGCAAAGAAAATGGTCTCATGTTTCTTTTAAAACAGCTCTCAGATGATTACTAAAATATAATTAGCTTAACCAGTCAAACATTAGGCAACTACTGGCCAAAGTTACTTTTTTATCATTACTGATAAATTTTGTAATTGTGACTGAACTGAAAGGCAACGTTTAACATTGCAATAAATATTCTGTCCATAGTTTCAAAAAACTATTTCTCTTTCTCTTAAGCCTCTTTCAAAGCCTCCTCAATGCCTCTAAATACAATCATATATACGCAGCACTTTATTTTGATCATGGCTGCAAACAAAATGAGCCTGAAACTCAATAGTCATAAAAGTCTCTGAAGCGCCTTAGGAAACCCCTGAGAAAGAGAGGCAGAGGACTCTCCTGCCAGCCAGGGTAGCTCCTGCAGGCTCCACTTCCCCAGGAGAGGCCTGCAGAGGGGAGGAGAACATGTGGCGCGCAGACAGCCCGGTCGGTTCCTTCCCAGTCTAGGGGAGGAGGGACGACTCATTCAAACTCCCCAGCAGCACCCGAGGCCGAGCAGGGCGCTCGCGGCGGGCACAGACCCGCGGCTCGCCGGGCAGCGGGGAGGCACAGCCGGCCTGGCGGACCCGACCCCCGGCGATGCGCGCCAGGCCCCGTCCGGCGCTGCCGCTCCCGCCTGCCTGGGCCCCGCTCGCAGCTCCTCACACCCCTTCCCTCCCAGGGGCCGCCTCCCCCGGGATGCGCCGCGGCCCTCCCGCCCCTCGGGCCCGGGCCGCGGGGCCTTGCGAGGAGAGCGTGCGCGGAGCCAACGCGGGCGGCTGCGGCTGCCCCTCGCCCGCCCCGAGCGGCGGCCGGCCCGGGAGGGGCCGGGGCTCCCACCCGCGCCGAGACCGAGGCTCAGGCCCCACGGCACCATGACCTCCTCCTCCGCCGCCCGCCCAGCCCCCGGCGCGGCCCGGGCCGCTGTCCCACCTCGGGCGCGCCCCTGCCTGTGGCGCGCCGACCCCGGCGCTGGCGGCACTCACCCCTGGCGGCCCTTGTCACCCCGCGCCGCTCAGCGCCGCGCCGCCGCCATGTTGAGCTGGTGCGGCACGGCTGCGTCAGTGGCGGGCAGGGCGGGAGCGGCGGCCGGGGGCGGAACGGCGGGGGCGGGCGGGGGAGCGGCGGCGGGAGAGGCGGCGGCCCACGGTGCGGGGGTCGCGGTGACGGCACAGCGCTGCCCAGAGGCGGCGGGGGTCGCTCGCAAGAAGCGGGAGCGGCGGAGGGAGGGGACGCCCGCCTCCTCGGGCCCGTCAGCGGCGCTCCGCCCCTCCCGCCGGCCCCGCCGCCCGGGGCCCGGCTGGGCTCGGGGCGGGAAGGTCCGGTGAGGCTGGAGCGGCTGCAGCTACGCGGGGCCTTTCCGGCCAAACGTGCTCGGGAACAGGGCTGGTCGTCCCCGCCGGCGCCTCAGCGAGAAGCCCGGGAAATGGCCAAGGGTTGGTAAATGAATCGCCCGGCACGGCGCTGAAGCGCTCAGGGTTCCTCCAGCAGTGCACCTCGCTAGGGATTGTTAAGAATTAAAATAGGAATTTAGGCCAACTGTGGGGAAAAAGAAGTTGCTGATAATTTTACCCCGTATGTCTGTATTGCCATTCAAAGTTAATATCTCTTAAAATAGGGACATGAAAGTTTACAACAATGCATAAAGTTGCAAGCACCTTCGAGATTAACTAAGACTTGTGTGGAAGTATGTACATCCTTTACTAGGTTTTAATGCAAACCAGTGAGGAATTGGGTCAATAATCATAGATATAACAGGAGGTAATGGAAGTTACTTGACTGGCTGTTGAGAAAATTCTTGAAACCGCTAATGTTCCCTTTATGGACATCTGAAAAAAAAAAAAGAGAAATTGACCCTTGAGAGTTCTGAAGTCCTGAAGAAGCTGGTGAGTGAACTAGCCTTTTGTATTTTGTTTAGACATTTGTTTTATTTTATCCACATGTACTTGACAAGTCAAGAGTTCGGCATCTTGTGAATGAAAAATCCATATGATTTGCAGAAGTTGCCTTCATATGAATGTGGAATTGTTTTCCTATGCAGCTGAGGGGTCAGATGCCTTGGAATTCTTATGTGAGTTTGCAGAAGGCCTGAGTTTCTTGAAAGAGATAAATGCCACCCTTTGATATCACCTGACAGGGTTTGGGTCTGTAGACTGTAACTGAGATGATCTGGACATGTTAGCAGGATACAGGAGCTGTTCCAGTTACAAATTCTGGTTACAAATCCAGTTAAAAAATGAACATGCTGTTTTTCTAAAACACTACAGACCTTGTAATTAATAAAATAGGGGCTATCTTGTTAGTTTGAGTGAGTTCCATATTCATAAGCATCCAGTATATTAGGAGGTATATATACAGTCAGCAGCAGACAAAAAGTAGAACCCTCAAACCCTTAATACAGACAGCTGCAAAACAGCTGGTCAGAATTGGTCATGGTAACATTCCTGGTTATGATTTTAGATAAAATTTTAGAGCAATCTGAGATTGTTATCATTCGTTCTAAATGTCTCTGTTATTATCAATAGCAGTGAGAAAAGGTCCAGAAAGATGACCTGGAGCTATGTGTATACAACATAAGCAACCTACTTGTTGCAAGATATTTGTGTTCTAGAACTCATACATTTTAAATTAATCTTTGTTGGAAAGCATAAAAAATTATATTGTAAAATAAAGTAGCATTAATTCCAGTACAACGAAGCCAAACTCTTCAACTTCACCCTTCCTGAACTTCAGTCCCTTTGTGCTTTTTCTAGGGGGGAAGACTTTTTTTTTTCCCACTCAGAACGTGTTATAAAACCATTGTAACGCTGGTTTTATAAACATGACCTCAATAAACAATACGACCTTGGAACTTTTTAAGTATTATTTTTATTTCCTCTGAGAAGTCTAACTGGCTGGACTTTCCCCTTTCTCCCTACGCTTCCCGGCAGCAGCTCCCGGGAAACGGCGTGTCCTGGGGCATGCGCACGCTGGGTGACAGTGCAGAGGCACGTGGAGCGCTGCGGCGTGTTCGGGGTGAGCGGCGTTCGCCAGCGGCTCCAATGCAGGAAGGTCCTGGGGAAGGGTAAGCTGAGAGCTCCTCGGATTGTGTTCTCCGGGGGCGGGGACGTCTCAAAAGTTGCGCCGGTGACCCTGACTCCTTTGCTTTTTTGTTTAACCACGGACCTTGTCGTGTCCGCAGCCCTCGCTGGAGCCGGCGCTGGCAGCCGCTGCCGCCCCGCGCCCGCCCGCCTGCCCGGTGCCGCCCGGTGCCGCCCGGTGCCGCCCGGTGCCGCAGGCGCGCAGGGGTTCGCGGGCCGGCCCTCAGCGGCCGCCGCCGGCGGTACCCGCGGCCTACCGGAGGCTGGCGCCGTGAGAGCGGTCTCAGAGGCGGGACACGAGTCCAACGCCGCGGGTCGCGCCCCGCCTGCGGGGAGGCAGTGGGACCCTGGCCACCCTCGCCCCGGCCATCGCCGGCCTGAGACCTGCGCGGCGTCTTAGCCCTTTGCCACGCTCTTCCTAAACGTTTTTGGGTCAGAATTCCCGCGGGAAGGAAGAAGGCGGCGCGCAGGTGGCAGCGGGCGGTGCGCGGCCCAGGACGGGAGGGGCCGGCGCTGGTCCCCGGGGCCTGCGGGGCTGAGCTGCCCGCGGCAGCGCTCACCTGGCTGAGGGGAGTCGGGCAGGCGGGGGAAAAACACCCTGTGCCGCACGAGCACCTGTCTTACGGCCTAGTTACTTAAATCTCTAATAGTTCTTATGCCTGGGGAGTGGCGGGTGTCCACATTTTCCCCTTTGTGGAAGATTTCCTGGCTCACTGTATTTTGTAATACGGCCTTGAAAGTGCTTATTGTGTTTCAACTGTTAGAAAATTATTTTAGAGACTTTCTTGCCCTTCAAATGTATTACACCGTGTGGTAAGTGGAACACCTTAGAAATAGTTCTTTAAATATATCCAAATTTCCTGGGTTTAGTCTATGTATTTGTAAGTTTGAAAACATCCAATGTTTTCTATTGATGTACTTTTAAAAGGATATTAGAATTAACTACAATTTAAAATTGTATACAAGTTTGTGGTAAATCACTTGCATCAGCTCAATCACTTCCAGAAAGAGAAAGATTTGGAAACTTCCTGTGGAGTGTTTTAGATAGAGATCCTGGTTGCCCATCAATAGGATAGAGGATGTAAGTTCCATTGCAGCTCGAGAACGGGAAAGGACGACTTACCTGGGGGCTTACTTCATCCTGATTTCTTGCAGTTTAGCTTGCCAGCACTGTGGGAACTAAATTATTTGTAAAGGCAACTACAATATGGAACAAATAGAAGCAATAAAAGCAATATCTGAAAAGGAACTATAAAGCAAATCATTATTATAATACTTAATACGTAATATCTGGAAAATTTGTACCTTTATTTTTGTGTGCTTTCATTTTGCATAGGGAAGAAAACATTTCATATTATGACAGATCATAAATTAAAATTACTTCATTTTAGCTTTCCTTGTATCTGCCCCAGTGCCAGCAACAGCAGTGTAGTACAATACACTAAATGATTTTTATGCTCTGAAGTGGATTGTACAGACATCAAAAGAAATCCACCTATATCCAATTTTCTAGAATGATTTCAGTACCTTACATAGACTGCTCAAATAAGGTTTTTCTTCCTCAGTGTGTGCTGCTGCCACTACCTTGATAACGTTACACTGATGGAATCATGTGAACAGTTGAAGAACATTCAAGTTTGCCAAAGGTATTGATAATTTTTGTTGTTAATGATTATATCTCCTAAAACAAGACTTCAAGACTTTACCATACTCTCTGAGTTGAGGGAATTTGATGGGTCTTTTTTAGTGTACCACAACATTTATCACCAGTGGTTTGTGTTCCCCAGCTTAGAACCAGTTTTGTAGGTTGTAGAGTACATAGTTGTTAGCCCTTTGTACAAACTGGCGTGTATTCTAAGGAAACAAATTAATACCAAATTTCGATGGATAAGGCTGTAGCTTCCACTATAATTTGAGGAATTAGGTTGCTTTTCTTTTGCACAATGGGTGATTTCAGCTGACGTGTGACTGTTCAATAGTCTGTATTGCAAAGGTGGTCAACCTTCTTGACTAAAAGCCATCTTACTTCCTTTTACCACCAATAGTTGTATTTTCTGGCAGTTCTTGGACCCCAGTTTGGCATTATGGAGTGGCTTAGTGGCTCAGTCATGCAGTGCTGGTATGTTAAAAAGTTCAGCTTTGCCTTCTCAGTAGTAGCATGATAGCACGTGTGGCTTTTAAAGGCAGGTTTCTAAATTTGAAAGCTTACCAAGTGGACTAACTTCATAGCACTTGTGAGCATGTCAGTGTTCATTGTTAGGAGTTTTTCTATGAGAAGATACCAGGCTGTAGGTTCTTCTCAAGCTTACCTCACTCAGAACATTATAATGTAGTGACATTGATTTTTACCTGGTTGTTGTGACTGTACTTAACTGCTTTAATGTGCTCTCGTTACAGGTACCTCAGAATTGAATTCTTCTTAATACAGTGACCATGTGGGATCAAAGAAAAATGGTCTTCTGTTTTTCAAACACTTGAATTTGTTGTTTGTAACAACATGATTTACTGTGAAAACTGGAAGAAGAATCTTTCTGGACACTTTAAAGATAGCTGGTAGGCATAGCAAAATGCTTTGTTTGAGGCGGGTTTGCTTGCTTACGCTGAGACGTTGCCAAGCTCGGACTCTGTGTAGTGATCTGCTTTTGAGCCAGATAAATAGCTGCACCCATGAAGATGAAGTGTTTAGCCTTGTTGGAAGGAACAAGGCCAGACTTTCTGAAAAGCATGTGGGAATTGCATTCAACATGCTGTGGCAGTTGCAAAAGAAGAGGCCGTTTCTCTTAAGGACTACTGACTATGTAAAAAATCACTCCCAGTTTCTTACCCTTTGCGTTTTGGCAGAAAACAAGGTGAAAGACATGGAAGATGAGGCCATAGTGGACACCTTATATAGTATTCTGAGGTAAAGAGCATTAAATTGAATTCCATGTATATATATTTTGTATTTGGTAATAAAAAGAGAGGGAATTTTGACTATAGAGCCATACTATAAGGAGATTGGGAGACTGCCCTGCCACAGTTTCTGTAATCCGTGTGACACAGATGGCGTAATGTCCTGTGCTTCAGTTTTTGAGATGC